GCTGCTTGTGCTGCTGCTGGGTATTGCCGGGGGCGGCTAACTCCGTGGGAAGAATGAGGGCCGGCCTCATAAGGAGAAGGAGAAGTTGCTGCTGCTGCTGCTGCTGCTGCTGCTGCTGCTGCAGGCGTTGCAGCACTTCCGGGCCACGGTATTGCTGCTGCTGCTGCTGCATGGGGCCTAGAAGGAGACACACTGCAGGACTCCTGCGTTTGCTGCTGCTGCTGCTGCTGCTGCTGTTGCTGCTGCTGCTGCTGTTGCGCTGTGGTCAAATTTGACAAACTCCGGCCTCTGCTGGGACCCTCCGGCGGTGCTGCTGCTACTGTTGCTGCTACGTTTGTGCTGCTGCTGCTGCTGCTGCTGCTGCTGCTGCTTGTACTGCTGCTGCTGGCTAGTTGCTGCTGCAGCGATCCAGTTTGCTGCCGGCGCTGTTGAAAGCGCTCTCCCAGACGTTTCATTGCTGCAGCGTTTGCTGCAGCCGCTGCAGCAGCGTCTGCTGCTGCAGCAGCTGCAGCAAAGCCTCTACAGCGGGTGCTGCTGCTGCTGCTGCTGCAGTTGTAGCAGTGCTAATGCAACAGGGATTGCTGCTGCTGTGGCGGCTGCTGCTGTCCAAGCTGCACTGAGGCTTCTTGCTGCAGCAGCAGCAGCAGCAGCAGCAAGAGGAATAGCTGCTGCCAGCCACACTTTGGAGGTAATTTGGAAGGAGCGAAAACCCTAAGAGCAGCAGCAGCTGCTGCTCCGGGGGCGCTGAGGTGTACGTACACCTCAACTCGAGCTGGACTTCAAACTAATCCAAAGAATTAATTTAATTAAATTAATTAAATAAACATTTAAAACAATAAAACTCAAACTGCGCTTTTTGCTGCTGCCTGCATGCAGCCCCAGCCGCTCTGAGGTGTAACTACACCGCAGCTCCCAGCAGCATTTGCTGCTGCTCTTTTTCTTAATTTGAAAATTTATTTACTTAGACATTTCCTTAGCCATAGTTGTTGCTGTTGCTGCTGCTGCTGCTGCTGCAGTTACTGCTGCTGCTGCAGTTACTGCTGCTGCTGCTGCTGCAGTTACTGCTGCTGCTACAGTTACTGCTGCTGCTGCTGCTGCAGTTACTGCTGCCGCTGCAATTACTGCTGCTGCTGCTGCAGTTACTGCTGCTGCCGCTGCAGTTACTGCTGCTGCTGCTGCTGCAGTTACTGCTGCTGCTGCTGCTGCTGCAGTTACTGCTGCTGCTGCTGCTGCTGCAGTTACTGCTGCTGCTGCTGCTGCTGCTGCAGTTATCGCTGCTGTTTGACTAACTCCTTGAAACTGTCCCCAGTAAACTACTTAGTATCCACTGAAATAAGTTAGCAGCAGCAGCAGCAGCACCAGCAGCAAAAACAGCAACGTCCGCTGCAACAGCAGCAGCAAAAATAGCAGCAGCAGCAGCCACAGCAAATGGTGGATCACATACTTCTCAGCAGCAGCAGCAGCAGCAGCAGCGGTAGCAGCATGCTGCTGCTGCAGAAGAAAGTGGCTGAAGAGACTTCTTTGAACGAAGAACTGACAAAAGTATTTAATTTCCATTTAGTTGATTTCAGCAATTGTTTCCCTGAGCGAGGGTTTAGGGTTTAGGGTTTAGGGTTTGGAGAGCCAGCTAGCGAAGCAGCTTAAACAAGAACCACCAAAGCAGTCATTTGCTGCACTCTGGGCAGCTTAAACTAAAGCATACGCAGCTGCTGCTGCTGCTGCTGCTGCTGCTGCTGGATCTGCTGCAGCACGTGCTGCACGAACTGCAGCAGCAACGGCGAGCAGCAGCAGCAGAAACGGCTGCGTGTGTGCCGGACAACCTGCTGCAGCACGAGCAGCAGCAGAAGCAGCAGCAGCAGCAGCACCCGCTGCTGCTGCTGCTGCTGTCCCAGGCCAAGCGCTGTCGGCCCTTTGCTGCACGGCTAGCCAACTCGCTAGCCGGCCAATCAGCTTGCCTAAGCTGTGGCTAGCTAGCTAGCTAGGTAGCCAGCCAGCTAGCTAGCCAAATAGGTAGCTAGCTAGCCCGCTAGCTAGCCAGCCAGCTAGCTAGCCAACCAGCTAGCTAGCTAGCCTGCTACCCAGCCGACTAGCCAGCTAGCCAGCCAAATAGCTAGCCAGGCAGCTAGCTAGCTAGCTCGCTAGCTAGCTGGCACAAGGTAGCCAGCTAGCCGGCTCCGGCGTCCTGTGCTGTAGGGCCAGCTGGCCTCATGCTTAGGGTTTAGGGTTTAGGGTTTAGGGTTTAGGGTTTCTGGCGGACTTGAGGATGGCGTGGAAGTCCGAAGTGAGCGAAGCGCCGCCAACCAAAAAGCCGTCGATGTCTTCTTCTTTAAACAGATCCTGAGCAGCAGCAGCAGCAGCAGCAGCAGCAGCAGCAGATGCACTCGGCCCTCACCTTTGGCCTGTTCAGGTGGCTAGCTAGCTAGCTAGCTGCCTAGCGAGCTCCCCTGCTAGCTGCCTAGCTAGCTGGGTAGCTAGCCAGCTGGGTAGCCAGCTAGCTGGGTTGATGGCTAGCTAGCGAGCTAGCTAGCTGGCTAGCCAGCTAGCTAGCCATCCAGCTAGCTAGCTAGCTAGGCAGCTAGCTAGCTAGCCAGCTAGCTAGCTAGGCAGCTAGCTAGCTAGCTAGCTAGCCAGATAGCTAGCTAGCTAGCTAGCTAGCTAGCTAGCTAGCTAGCTAGCTGAGTGGGTTGATTGGCTTGCCATGGCATTGGAGCCCTTGACGGAGCCTCCATAAATGATGCGGGTTTGCTGCGCGACTTCTTCGCCGACGTGCTGCCTCAGCCACTCGCGGATTTCTGCAGGCAAACCCTAAACCCTAAACCCTAAACCCTAAACCCTAAACCCTAAACCCCAAACCCCAGCACCCCGACCCCAAGCCCCAAACCCTAGAGGCCGGTGGCGCGGCGGCGTCCCTCGCCCCTGCGAGCCGGCGGGCCCGCCAGCTGGCGGCCGCAGCGAGGGCCCAGTCTAGGGTTTAGGGTTTAGGGTTTAGGGTTTAGGGTTTGGACCTCGGTGGGTTTGCTGGGCCGTCTGCGGCGAAGCCGTCTGGCCAGTGCCAATGGCCCAAATCGGCTCGTAGGCGATCACCACTGAGGGCCACCCGGAGGCCCCCAGCGCGGACGCGTAGGCCTGCGGTGTACAGACACCCCAGACAAAGTGTGGGGTGTGCGGTGTACAGACACCCCAGACAAAGTGTGGGGTGGGGGGTGTACAGACATATATATATATATATAGATATTATATATACATATTTGTATATATATATATATTTGTATATAGACACCCCAGGCAAAAGTGTGAGGTGTGGGGTGTACAGACACCCCAGACCGAGATGTGGGGTGTGGGGTGTACAGACACCCAGACCAAAGTGTGGGGTGGGGGTGTACAGACACTGCAGATCACAAGTGGGGGGTGGGGGTGTACAGACACCGCATATCACAAGTGTGGGGTGTGGGGTGTACAGACACCGCAGATCACAAGTGTGGGGTGTGGGGTGTACAGACACCGCATGCTGAAGGTGTGGGGTGTACAGGCAACGACGGAGAACAAAGTGTGGGGTGTATAGGCAGCTTTGGAGAGGAAAGTGTGGGGTGTATAGGCAGCTACAAATAGGAAGTCCGAGGTGTACAGGCAGCTGCTGGGGTGTATAGGCAGCTCCAAACAGCAAATTTTGGGGTGTATAGGCAGCTAAATAGGGCAATTTTTGGGGTGTATAGGCAGCTAAATAGGGCAATTTTTGGGGTGTATAGGCAGCTAGATAGGGCGAAATTTGGGGTGTATACGCAGCTAAATGGGGCAAAGTTTCGGGTGTATAGGCAGCTAAATAGGGCAAATTTTGGAGTGTATAGGCAGCTAAATAGGGCAAGTTTTGGGGTGTATAGGCAGCTAGAAGACACAGCGCTGGGGTGTACAGACAGCTCAAAACGCACCTGCAGCTGCTGCCCCAAAAACTCCATCGTTTTGCCGCTCTGCCGCGTCTCTAGGCTTTCCCCTGCAGCACCAAACCCTAAACCCTAAACCCTTAACCCTAAACCCTAAACCCTAGACCCTAAACCCTGCACCCAAACCCTAAACCCTCAGCCCCTGCAAACAGTTGTAGCCAATACTGCGCCAGACACGGCTTGGAAGCCGCGTTGTGAGGTTTGGAAGGGACTCCTGATCTAGGGTTTAGGGTTTAGGGTTTAGGGTTTAGGGTTTACCGATGCATGCAATGACTTGCAGTCCGTGGTCCACTGCGTTCTTTGCTTTAGCAGCCACAACTTCGTTGCTCTCTCCCTAAACCACAAACCCTAAACCCTAAACCCTAAACCCTTAACCCCAAGCCCTAAAGGCCGAACCCTAAACCCTCGACCCTAAACCCTGATGAGCAAACCGTAAACCCTAGGCCCTAAACTCCCAAACCCTAGCAGCGAGACATGCGTTGCTCCCTCCACTGCTTGTTGGGACTAGGGTTTAGGGTTTAGGGTTTAGGGTTTAGGGTTTGGGGCCTACCGGCTGGTTGCCAAATCCAGCACGTCTTTCGCTGTGGCCCACAATAACAGTTTTAATGCCAAAGTCCTGAAGCGCAAACCCTAAACCCTAAACCCTAAACCCTAAACGCTCAACCACAAACTCTCGCCTCCTCCCCTTTCCTTGCCACTCCTCAAACCCCAAACCCTAAACTCTCAAGCCCGCCGCGCAAACCCTAAACCCTAGACCCTAACCCCCGACCCTAAACCCTAAACCCTAGTCCCCAAACCCCAAGGACAAAACCACCCCATGACCCCCGTCTCCCATCCCCAAGCCCTAAACCCTAAACCCTAAACCCTAAACCTTACACCCCACACCCCAAACCCTAAACCCCAAATCCACCCTACCCGCACCCCCTACACCCAAACCCGAAACCCGAAACCCCAAACCCTACCCCGCACCCACCCCCTCTCCCCAAACCCCAAACCCTAAACCCTAAACCCTAAACCCTAAACCCTAAACCCTACTTTGGCCATTTGCGGGGCAATCTCGCCAGTGAAGGCCCCGTAACTCTTCACTTGGCTGCTGTCTTGAAGAGCAACAGCAAAAGGCCTTCGGAGGCCCCGCAGCAGCAAACCCGCGTGCAGCGCGGGGGGGGCCACCACCACCTGCGCAGCAAACCCTAAACCCTAAACCCTAAACCCTAAACCCTAAACCCTAAACCCTAAACACTCAGGCGCGAGGCAGCGCTTGCGGGGCGCCTTTTTGGCGTGGGGAGGTACAAGGGAAGGAATGGGGTCTCTGCGGGAGGGAGCGCAGGGACAAACCCTAAACCCTAAACCCTAAACCCTAAACCCTAAACCCTAAACCCTAAACCCTAAACCCTAAACCCTCGCCTCTATGTCGTCGTCTTCCGGCGGCGCGTCGTTCAGCATTTGCAGAATCGCCTCAGCGCCTTTTGGGTCTCCGTTGCATTTCCAGTTGCCCCCCACAAAGGGTTTCCTTGCTGCTGCCAGCTGCTGCTGCTGCTGCTGCTGCTGCTGCTGCTGCCTGCTGCAGCGCAGGGAGTGCTGCATCGGCCAAGCAGCAGCAGCAGCAGCAGCAGGGGCCCCCAGAAAGGCCGCGGGCTGCTGCGGGGGCCCCAAGGCAGCAACTTCAGGTGTACGTACACCCCAAACCCCCAGCGCGAGAGCCACGCACGCAGTTGCCGCCCCCAGCATCTTCTAGGGTTTAGGGTTTAGGGTTTAGGGTTTGGGGTTTAGGGTTTGGGTGTTGGAGGCCTGGGCTCGTCGTCCTTCGTGCCTTCCGCGCGGCTGAGGGATTAGGGTTTAGGGTTTAGGGTTTAGGGTTTGAACAAAGCGAGACAAGGACAAGCCAGCTTCTCTACCATCAAATATTGGCTACCTTTTAGGGTTTAGGGTTTAGCATTCACGATCTAGCGCCTAGGGTTGAGGGCTTAGGGTTTAGGGTTTAGGGTTTAGGGTTTAGGGCTCCCGCAGGCAAGACAAGGGAGACAGCGAGACGTTGGCCCCGATGGCTGCTGCGGGGGCCCTAGGGTTTAGGGTTTAGGGTTTAGGGTTTAGGGTTTCAGGTTTAACTCAATTTTTGCATATTTAGGCGCGCTTTTCTGCTACTATTCCTTAGACAACAGCAGCAGCAGCAGCAGCAGCGGCAGCAGCAGCAGCAGCAGCAGCAGCAAAGTTGGCTTGTGGGCTCAAAGCTTTAGTAGACGTGTCTGCTGCTTCTATGCAGCTGCAGCGGCGTTATCAGCTGAGTGATAAAACAGATGCAGCAGCAGCTGCTTCTGCTGCTGCGGCAGCAGCGGCTGCTGCTGCTGCTGCTGCTGCTGCTGCCGATGCTGCTGCTCGCTGACGGGCTTCGAGCCCCCCAGCGCTGCACATTGAGGAGCTGCTGCGGCAGCAGCAGGAACATTCTCGGCAGCAGCAGCAGTACCTTCTGCAGCAGCCGCAGCCTCAGCAGCAGCAGCAGCAGCAGCAGCAGCAGCAGCAGCAGCAGCAAGCAACGGGGCAGCTGCGCCTTCATCAGTGGCTGTATCAACAGGGCAGCAACACCGCAGCATTTTGGCTCTAGCCGAGCAGCAGCAGCAGCAGCTGCTGCTGCTGCTGCTGCTGCATACACGCCTCGTGAGGCTGTCGCTGCCGGCCCAGGTCCCAGCAGCAGCAGCAGCAGCAGCAGCAGCAGCAGCAAGTTAGCTGCAGCGGGAGATGACGAGGAGGGGTGGATTGCGCTGGAGCTGCGGCAGCAGCAGCAGCGCCAGCAGCAACGGCAAGAGGAGCTGCAGCAGCAGCAGCAGCAACTAGCGCAGCAGCAGCTAGAGGAATGGCTCAGCAGCGAAAACCCCACACTCGACAGCTTGGGAGCTATAATCACTGGCAGCAACCAGCAGCAGCAGCAGCAGCAGGTGCTGCCCCCGGAGCAGCAGGAGCTGCTGCAGCAGCAGCTTGCGCAGCAGCGCCTGCTGCACGAAGAGCTGCGGCAGCAGCTGCAGCGGCGACAGCAGCAGCAGCAGCAGCAGCAGCAGCAGCACGCATTTCTGCAGCAGCACCTAGCCCCTGCGCAGCCCGCGGGGCCGCAGCCCCACCAGCTCCCCCACCAGCAGCAGCAGCAGCAGCAGCAGCAGCAGCAGCAGCAGCAGCAGCAGCAGCAGCAGCAGCAGCAGCAGAGCTCTGTTTGATTTAAGGAATTTTGATGCAAAGAAAGGACCCCCGCAAGGCACAAGAGCTGTTCTTTTGGATTCCCTCAGCGCCAGTGTGCTGCAGATGCCGCGGGAGCCGCCGCTGCTGCCGCAGCAGCAGCAGCAGCTGCTGCAGCAGCTGCAGCAGGGTCCTGCTGCAGCCCCCGCAGCAGCAGCAGCAGCAGCAGCAGCAGCAGAAGAGGAGAGCACAGTGCCTACTGAGGGATATATCAACGGGGTGTACATGACGGAGCAGCAGCTCGACCTCGCGCTGCAGCAAAAGGCCAAAGAGCAGCAGCAGCAGCAGCAGCAGCAGCAGCAGTTGCTGCAGCTGCTGCTCCAGAACGCCAAGCAACAAATGGAAAAGGCAGCGCACGTGAAAATCGAGGACGTCGACAGGTCTGCTGCTGCTGCTGCTGCTGCTGCTGCTGCTGCTGCTGCTGCTGCTTACTTTTGCTGCTGCTCTTGCCTGTTCCTGCTGCTAGTTGCTCTTGCTGCTGCTGCTTCCGCTGCTGCTGCTGGTCCTAGCCCACAGGCCGCTGAAGCAGAGAAGGTAGCACGTTTGTGCTTGCTGCTGCTGCTGCTGTTGCTGCTGCTGCTGCTGTTGCTGCTGCTGCTGCTGCTGCAGCTTGTCGCCTGAAGACCTAAACGAGTGTTTGGTCTACAGGGGCCTCCGCTGCGAGGGCAGCCTAGAAGTGCAGCGGAACCGGTAAACCCTAAACCCTAAACCCTAAACCCTACACCCTAAACCCTAAACCGTACGGTGTTAGCACTCGCGGACAGTGAGCCCACGCTGCGCGTTCGCAGGCTAGGGTTTAGGGTTTAGGGTTTAGGGTTTAGGGTTTAGGGTTTGTGGGGCAGGCTGAAGGACGCTTTAAAGAATGGTTTGGGGCCCCAAGAGCCAGAGCCAGAAGCAGCCCAGCGCTTTGCTGCTGCTGTAAACCCTAAACCCTAAACCCTAAACCCTAAACCCTCACGCGTGGCGCAGAGCGTCGGGTTGCCGCCTCACCCCTTAGAACTCTTCAAGTGTTTAGAGTTTAGGGTTTAGGGTTTAGGGTTTAGGGTTTAGGGTTTAGGGTTTAGGGTTTGCATGCAGGTAAATGAGATTGAGAAGCCCCTGGAGCATGCAGGAGATGCAGCAGCAGTTTTCCGCAGGTGGCTGGCGAGGGCTGAAGTTGCTGCTGCTGTTGCTGACCCCGTAAACCCTAAACCCTAAACCCTAAACCCTAAAACGCGGTTTCGGGAGCACGCGCAGCTCGCTCGTTTGTGAAGCGCAAAAGGGCTTGAGGGATTAGGGCTCGACGTTCAAGCGACTTGAGACAACAATTAAGGGTTTAGGGTTTAGGGTTTAGGGTTTAGGGTTTAGGGTTTAGGGTTTGAGTGCAGGGCGGGACCTTCAAGTTTGACCAGCAGTCTCCCACTCATGATTTGTCTCCAGAGGAATTGGCAGAAATAGAAAGAGAAAAAAATGAAGAACGAATAACTCATCGCCCTCCTGCTGCTGCTGCTGCTGCTGCTGCTGCTGCTGCTGCTGGTGAAGAAGCTGCAGCGGCAGCTAGCCAGAAGCAAGTTCTCACCGGAGCAGCAGCAGCAGCAACAGGGACGGCAGCAGGCGCTGCAGCAAGTGCACCAGCAGCAGCAGCAGCAGTAGACTCAGCAGCAGCAGCAGCAGCAGAAGACACTGCAGCAGCAGCAGAAGACACAGCAGCAGACGCAGCAGCAGCAGCAGCAGCAAACGACGATTTCAATGCCTTTTTAAGAGACAAGTTGGGGGGAGTCTTTTGGACTGCTGATGAGCTGCAGCAGCTGCAGCAAATGCATGCAGAGGGGAGGCAGCAGGATATGCTGCAGCAGAGGGATCAGAAGGAGCTTGAGCTGCTGTTCTCTAGCAAAGGTCTGCTGCTGCTGCTGCTGCTGCTGCTGCTGCTGCTGCTGTTCTTGCTGCTGCTACTGCTCTTCTTGTTGCTGCTGCTGTTGCTGAGGAGAAAATGCACCGGCTGTGCTGCTGCTGCTGCTCCCGGTGCTGCTGCCTGTGGGTCTGTCGTCGGCTCTGAGAGCGCTGCTGCTGCTGCTGCTGCTTTTGCTGCTGCTGCTGCTGCTGCTGCTGCAGAGGACCTTTTGGGGGAGTCGATTCCCAAGGTTTTGGACATAAGAGTTGATGGTGAAGTTCCTCTAGAAGAGCCCGTCGTTAGAACAGACTTTTTCGAGGCAAGGGTTTAGGGTTTAGGGTTTAGGGTTTAGGGTTTAGGGTTTGGGGTTTTGCGTCCCCAAAAAGGCTTTGGGAGTCAGCTGCGTAATCCGCTGCTGCTGCTGTGATTGCTGCGGCTTAGTAGGGTTCTGCTGTTGCTGCTGCAGCTGTGACTGTGCTGCTGCTGCTGCTGTGGCTGTGCTGCTGCTGCTGCTGTTGCTGCTGCTGCAGGGTTTGTCCGATGAAGAGAAAAAGGCGAAGTTTCTGAATGCGCAGCAAAATGGCGTGCTGACGGAGACGATCGAGGTCTGCTGCTGTTGCTGCTGCTGCTGCTGCTGCTGCTGCTGCTGCTGTTGCTGCGCTTCATTCTAGTTCTGCTGGAAGATCTGCTGCTGCTGCTGCTGCTGCTGCATTTGCCGCTTGTGATTTTGGGTGCGTGGGGCTGCTGCTGCTGCTGCCCGCCTTGCTTCGGCGCACTGCGGCGCCGCCAAACCCTAAACCCTAAAAAAGGGTTTGCGGGTTTTCGCAGTCCTTGGCGGCGCGGTTTGAAGTCCCCAGGGACTTCATTGGAGACGCCCTCTGCAGGTTTGGCTGCGCTGCTCCGCTAAACCCTAATTTAGGGCTTGGGGAGTTTGTGGCTCCCGAGGGGGTTTGGGGTTTGCTGGAGCTGCTGCACGTCGTGGACCCAAACAGCGCCAGCTTCCTGTAAACCCTAAACCCTAAACCCTAAACCCTAAGCCCTAAACCCTAGACGCCAAGGGTTTGAGGCCTGCAGCCCGAGCGCGCGAGCAGCAGCAGCAGGAACTAGCCCCGCGGGCAGCCTGCCAGCTGCAGCCCCCCAAACCCTAAACCCTAAACCCTAAACCCTAAATTGTGGTTTGTGGCAGGTACCCTGACGAGACAGTGCAGGATATCGCGACGCAATTCGGCTTCAGCATGGGACAGACGGAAAGCATTTGTCAAGAACTTGGATTCCAGTCTGCTGCTGCTGCTGCTGCTGCTGCTGCTGCTGCTGTTGCTGCTGCTGCTGTTGCCGCTGCTTGCAGTTGTTGCGTTGCTGCTGCGGCTGCTGCCCAGAACTGCAGTGTCGGTGCTGCTGCTTTTGCTGCTGTTAGTGATGCGGGTGCTGCTACGACTGCTCAGAGTTAGACTGTTCTTGCTGCTGCTGCTGCTGCTGCTGCTGCTGCTGCTGCTGCTGCTAGCGACTCGGGTGCTGCAGGTGCTGCGGCTGCTTCTGTTGCTGACAGTGGCGCAGCTGCTGCTGCTGCTGACTCTGCTCTGCAGTTTCCACCAACTCTTCTTGTGCTGCTGCTGCTGCTGCTGCTGCCCGCAGCGTGTGGGCTCTTGCTGCTGCTGCTGCTAGCTTCAGTTCTGCTGCTGCTGCTGCTAGCTGTAGTTCTGTTGCTGCTGCCTGCGGCTGCGCTGCGCATGCTGCTGCGCCGGCGGCATTCTTCAGCGCGAGTTGCTGCTGCTGCAGCTGGTGCAGCGTGCAAAGTCCTGCTGCTGCTGTTGCTGCTGCTGCTGCTGCTGCTGCTGCAGGCTGCCCTTTGGGGGAGAAACGCGCCTAAATAAAGAATGCTACGCGGCGCTAACCCAAAGGCTAGGAAAGCTGCAGGCGCAGCAGCAGCAGCTGCTGCTGCTGCAGCAGCAGCAACAGTAGCAGGAGCAGCAGCAGGAATAGATGAAACCGCAGCAGCAGCAGGGATGAGAGCAGCAGCAGCTGCAGCAGCTAGTAGCTGCCAAAATCAGGACTTCAGATTCTTGAATTTTATTTATCTGCTGGGGTGTACGTACACCCCAACTGCTGAGGTGTACGTACACCTCAGCTGTCGTAGACAGCCATTGCTTTCGACTTGTCGCTTTCATGATATATTTTATCAATTTTATTATTTTTATTTATTTATTTATTTATTCATTTATTTATTTATTTATTTATTTATTTATTTATGTATTTATTTTGATTTAATCACTTCGCTGCGGGAATCTTTTCCGCCTTTTTGCATCTTTTTGCTCTAATAGAATAGCAGCTTCTACTAAAAATTAATTTAAATTAATTAACTGCAACTATAAACTAATTTAATTTGAATTAATTTGTTTATTTCCCTCTTTCTCCGTAGCTCCCGAAGCCGGACCTAGGGTTTAGGGTTTAGGGTTTAGGGTTTAGGGTTTTCAGCCCCTCTGCTGCCCCATCGGCCACCTCTTTACCGCAGCTCACCCGAGAGCCATCTGGGGGCCCCCCTGTACCCTGGGGGGCCCCCAGGCCCACCCTAAGGGGCCTCAGGGGGCCCCCAGGGGCCCTCCTGGGGCCCCTGGGGGCCCCCTGGGGCTCCCCAGGGGGCCCTTGGGGGCCCCCCGGGGTACCTGGGAGCCTTTGAAAAGGCCTTTGGGGTGCCTGGGGGCCCCCAGGCGTCCCCGAGACCCTGTGGGGGCCCCAGGCCTTCGTCTGGCCCCCTAGGGGCCCCTAGGGGCCCCCCAGGGGCCCCCGGGGGGCCTCCATGGGGCCCCCGGGGCCTCCCAGGGGCCCCAAAGGGGCCCTGGGGGCCCCCCAGGGGCCCCCGGGGGCCCCCAGGGGCATATTTGGGGGCCCCCACAGGACCCAATCGAAGCCGCCCCTCTGCCCCTGTGGGGGCCCCCCCGGCGGGGCAGCAGAAATGAATTATTTGGGATTTTAAAAGGGATATTTAGGCGGAAAAGAGTGAAAACGGAGTATTAGGGTTTAGGGTTTAGGGTTTAGGGTTTAGGGTTTAGGGTTTAGGGTTTAGGGTTTGCGGCTATACAGGCTCGCTGCGAGCCAGCCCACATAAAGGAGATAGTCCCCGCGGGGGTTTAGGGTTTAGGGTTTGGGGTTTAGCGGGCTGTTTGATTATTTATATTGAGTGAAAACACCGAGGTAAGCCTGTTTTTGTGAAATTAGGGTTTAGGGTTTAGGGTTTAGGGTTTAGCGTTTGTCTCCTAAGGCCCCGCGGACTGCAGCAGCAGAGCTGCTACCCCCTGTGTGTCTCCGTCTGCTGCTGCTGCTGCTCGGTAAGATGTTTGCTGCTTCAAATGGTTCGAGTTCTTTTTGTTTCAAACCCTAAACCCTAAACCCTAAACCCTAAACCCTAAACCCTGAACCCTCCTCCCCCAGCTCCAGCAATCCCGATGCCCGAATCTCTCGATGCCCCTTCGGGGGGCCCCCGCGGGGCAGCCTCTGCTGCAGCAGCAGCAGCAGGTGCTGCTGCTGCTGCTGCTGACAATGCGAATGAGAGAGAAGGCCGCGGGGCGTCTCCCAGTCGGAGCAGCAGCAGCAGCAGCAGCAGCAGCAGCCCTACAGCAGCAGCAGCAGCAGCAGCAGCAAAAGACGAAAGGCAGGGCGAGGCGCGGGCCTGCTCTACTGTCAGCACGAGCAGCAGCACCAGCAACGCCAGCAGCAACCGCAGCAGCATCAGCAACAGCAGCGGCAACCGCAACAGCAGCAGCAGCCGCAGCAGCAGCAGCAGCAGCAGCAGCAGCCCGCCGATGTCCCCCTGCGCGCCTGCGCGTCGCCGCAGCTCTTCGCCTCGCCGCAAGGCGGGCGAAGCTGCTGCAGCTCGAGCAGCAGCAGCAGCAGCAGCAGCAGCAGCAGCAGCGGGCTCGCAGTCGGAGCCAGCAGCAGCAGCAGCAGGAACACCAGCAGCAGCAGCAGCAGCAGCAGCAGCAGCAGCAGCAGACAGTGGGGACTCCGAACTCGAAGAAATGCCTCAAGAGGGAGCTGTCAGCGCTGTGCCGCCGCAGGCAGTTCCTGCGCTGTCTCGAGCGAATTCGAGGAGCAGCAGCGGGCCCTCGCAGCAGCAGCAGCAGCAGCAGCAGCAGCAGGAGCAGCAGCAGCAGGAGGAGCAGCAGCAGCAGCGGCAGCAGCAGCAGGTCAGGTGCCCCGAGTGCCACATTGCCTTTGCTGCCCACGAACTCAATGACCATCTTTTTTCCCACGCCATAGACGCGCTGCAGCAGCAAGCAGTGCAGCAGCGGGCCTACGCCAGCAGCAGCAGCAGCAGCAGCAGCAGCAGCAGCAGCAGCAGGAGGAGGCAGGCGCAGCTGCAGCGGACGCGCTCGGCGGGGCCCAGCAGCGGCGCCCCCATGCCCATATGCGCGCCGCTGCGCCCCACAGCAGCAGCAGCAGCAGCAGCAGCAGCAGCAGCAAGTGGACGTACACCTGAGCGCCGCACCTTCGGCGAGTTTGGGGGGGTGGCTTCGAGCTCCCCCAGCCCCATCGCCTCCTCGTTTGCTGCTGCTGCTGCTGCTGCTGCTGCAGCAGCAGCAGCAGCAGGCCGCTACCCGGGGCACCGCCGCGAGGCCCACAGCGCGCCCTCGTCGCAGCAGCAGCTGCCAAGAGTGTACGAGCGGGCGGGCCGCTCGGAGCTGCAGCAGCAGCTGCTGCTGCAGCAGCAGCTGCAGCAGCAGCAGCTGCAGCAGCAGCAGTACCAGCAGCAGCAGTACCAGCAGGTGCCGTACATAACAGCAGCAGCGCACAGAGGCGCCGCGCGCTCCCCCAGCAGCAGCAGCAGCAGCAGCAGCAGCAGCAGCTTCATGACTCGCGTGGCTCTGGCTCGAGACAGCAGCCCTTCCGCCCGCGAGCGGCTGCAGCACTACCACTACCTGCAGCAGCAGCAGCAGCAGCAGCAGCAGCAGCAGCAGCAGCGGTACATTGACAGACGCCAAGACAGCCACCAAGTTCGGGAGTGTCTGGGGGGCCCCCGTTACAGCGAGTGGGGGGCCCCCCGCTGCAGCTGTACGTACACCCCAGTGTACGGGGCGGGCTACGCGTACCGCCACGTGTGCAGCTTGCATGCAGGAGCAGCAGCAGCAGCAGCAGCAGCAGGAGCAGCAGCAGCAGCAGCAGCAAGGCCGCCCCTGCAGCGGGCGCACAGCGAGCAGCTCTACAGCGAGTACGCTCGCTCCCGCGCCGCCTCCCCGTTTGCTGCCAGCAGAGCAGCAGCAGCAGCAGCAGCAGCAGCGGGGGACAGCAGCAGCAGCAGCAGCAGCAGGGGCTGGATCTACTCCCGCAGCAGCAGCAGCACGGTGATCGGCGTGGGCACTGTGGCCCCCACCTGGGGCGAAACTTTAATAGCAGAAGGCCTAGTGCCTGCCTACGAGCCCCGGGGGCCCCCCCGGGGGCCCCCCCCGCTGGGGGCCCCCCTGGGGCCCCCCCTGGGGGCCCCCCTGGGGGCCCCCCTGAGGCCCCACGTGGAGGGGCCCCCCTGGACGCCCCTGCCTCGCGGGCGTTCCTTGCAGGAGCTGGGGGCGGGGGCCCCCGAGGGGCGGGGGGTGTCTGCGCCCCCGCAGCAGCAGCAGCAGCAGCAGCAGCAGCAGCAGCAGCAGCAGCAGCAGGAGCAGCAGGAAGAGGAGGAGGAGCGGCGGCTGGTGGAGGCCTTTGCTGCGTTCCTCCCCGTCAGCAGCTACGAAGAAGGCCGCGGCAGACTGCTCGACAGGGACCAGCAGCAGTGCAGCATTTGCTGCGAAGACTACAAAGAAGGGGAGCAGCAAAAGAGACTGCCCTGCACTCACAGTTTCCACCAGAGCTGTATAGACTGTTGGCTGCAGCGCAGCTCCTTCTGCCCGATTTGCAAGTTCGACTTGCTCAGCGAGCTGCGCAGAAACTAGCCGGTGGGGCCCCACAGTGTGGGGTGTTTGGCTTGTGGGGCCCCACAAGCCAAACACCCCACACGCTGCTGTGGGGCCCCCAGGGGCGCCGCCGGGCTGGGGGCCCCCCGGCGGATGCAGGGGGGCCCCCGCAATGTGCCAAGCAGCAGCAGCCGCGCAGCAGTGAAAAGGGGGCCCCACAGGGCTCGGAAGGGGGCCCCCACGGGGCCCCCTAGAAGCCCGCGCTTGTTCTCTCTTTTAGGGGCCCCAGAATGGGGGCCCCCTTGTGGGCCCCAGGGAAAGGGTCCGTTTCGGGGTCGCGGAGGGGCCCCCGGGCTGGTCAAAAGGCTTCGAAAATGGGGCCCCCCAGAAGACATTCCATTTATTAAATCCCGGGGGGCCCCTCAAGAGAAAAAAGCTGCTGGGGGAGACAAAAAAGTCCCAGAATTATACCCAAAAGGGGCCCCCAAGTGCAAATGGGGGCCCCCAGGGAAACCCCGGGGGGCCCCCACACAGGCCAGAAGGGCTTCTTTGGGCCCCAAAAAAGGACCCAAAACGACCCCAAAGGGGCCCCAAAAGGGCCCCAAAGGGGCCCCAAAAGGGCCCCAAAGGGGCCCCAAAAGGGCCCAACAGGGGCCCCAAAAGGACCCCAAAGGGGCCCCAAAAGGGCCCCAAAGGGGCCCCAAAGGGGCCCCAAAGGCCCCTTGGAGGGCCCAGGGGGCCCCCATCAGGGACCAGGGGCCCCTGGGGAGGCCCAGGGGCCTTTATATGCCCTAGAAGGACCCTCAGAGGCCCCCTAAAAGGGTCCAGAGGGGCCCCTGGGGGGCCCCCTAGGGGGCCCCCAGGGGGGCCCCTAGAGGGGGGCCCCTGGGGGGGCCCCCAAGGCGGGGTATAGTGTGGGTCCGAGGACTGGGGGCCCCCTAGGGGAACAGGGGGGACCCCGGGGGCCCCAAAGAGGTGGAGTGGAGGGCCTGAAGAAAGAAAAGAAGAAAAGAAAAATAAAAGTGAAAAGAAAGAAATGGGTTTGGCCTGGCTGGCTGTGTGTTGAGCTGTACGTACAGCTGGCTGCGCCCTGCTGCTGCTGCTGCTTCCGTCGAATTCAGTTTTCTCTTTTGTTATTTCCTGTTGCTCTTGTGGGGCAGCGGGGCCCCACAGCAGCAGCAGCTGCTGCTGCGGCTGCTGCTGCAGCTGTGTGCTGCTGCTTCAGCGGCTGCTGCTGCAGCTGTGGGGCCCCGCAGCAGCTGCTGCTGCAGCTGCAGTAGCAGCAACAGCAGAAACAGCAGCGAGGCTGTCTCGCTAATGGGGTGGCTGCTTGAGCAGCAGCAGCAACAGAAGCGGCAGCAGCAGCAGCAGCAGCAGCAGCAGCAGCAGCAGCAGCAGGTGTGCCCGAGGGAGCTCGTTGGATCCTTACGCGGCTGCGCTGTCTGTACACCTCAGCAGTCGCGTGCCTGCCTGGCGTTTGTAACACTTAAATAGATAATTAAATTTAATTAAATTAAATTTAATTAATTTAAATTTAATTAAATTAAATTAAATTTAATTTAATTTAATTTAATAATGTCAATTAGATTATTTGGCGCGGGCAAGGCAGGCCTTTGTTAGTCTATATGCTTCGGCTGCTTGGGGTGTACGTACACCCCAGCTCGCTCGCCCTAACTCACTAACTCACTTCTCTTCAATGTTTGTGCTGCAGCAGCGGCAGCAGTAGCAGCAGTAGCAGCAGCAGCAGTAGCAGCAGCAGTGTTAGCAACAGCAGCAGCAGTGTCAGCAACAGCAGTGGCCGTATCAGTGATAGCAGCAGCAGGACTATCGGTAGAAGCAGCAGCAGCAACAGCAGCGGCAGTATCAGGAACAGCAGCAGCAGTAACAGCAACGGCAGCAGCAGCAGCAGCAGCATGAAAAGCGCTGCAATGGAGAAGTGCCTGGATTGTTCGCAGTTAGCTAGCTGCTGCTGGCTGCTAGCTAGCTGCTGCTGGCTGCTAGCTAGCTGCTGCTGGCTGCTAGCTAGCTGCTGCTGGCTGCTAGCTAACTGCAGCTGGTTAGCTGCTGCTGGCTAGTCGAAATTGGCTAGCTAGGCTAGCTAGCTGCTGCTAGCTAGCTGCTGCTAGCTAGCTGCTGCTAGCTAGCTGCTGCTAGCTAGCTGCTGCTAGCTAGCTGCTAGAGGGGCTGCCTGGCCAGCAGCAGCAGCAGATTCCAAAGGCCTTTGGCTCTCCAAGCGCAGCCCCCCCTGACTTGGCGTGCTAGGCCTAAACCCTAAACCCTAAACCCTAAACCCTAGCAGCCCAGGGCGCGAGGTAGGGGGCCTCTCGGGGCTGTTGGCGAAGCCTCAGATGGCAAAAAAATAAAAGAAATGAATAAAAGGAAATAATTAAAATAAAAAGATAAAATAAAATGAAGAAGAGAGAAAAGAGCAGCAGCGCGGGTGGCGCCAGCTGTGACCTTGGGGTGTACGCGCAGCTGTTGCTGCTGCGCCCTCGGGTCGTTTTGGCCCATTTGTGTCCACAATTTGGAAATAAATAAATTTAAATTCGAATTAAATGATAAATTTAATTTAATAAAGGATTAAATGCCGAAATTAATTGGCGAGAACACACCAAACTGACCACTCGCTGTACACACACGGCAGCAGCGCCGGAAGACAAGAAAGGAACCGCTGGGGGCCCCACACCTGCTTTTTGTCCTTTTAATTTGATTAATAAAAGCCATTTATATTATTTTTACAATAATATCATTTGCTTCCGCAAGCAGCAGCAGCAGCAGCAGCAGCAGCAGCAGAGAGTCGGCAGCAGTGCTGGGGGGCCCCCCTGACTGCTGCGAGCTGCTGCTGCTGCTGCTGCTGCTGCTGCGGGTTCAGAACAAGATTTTTGACTTCTTTTTGGTTTTGTCTTTTTGTTTTTTACTGTTGTCATTAAGTGCTGGGTTTTTTTCGGGTGTACGTACACCTCGCGTAGGGTCTGTGTTTCGGCGTTGAGCTGCAGCAATGCCGCAGCAGCAACAGCAACTGTTGCTGCTGCTGCTGCTGCTGCTGCCCTTCCTGCTGTCTCTGCTGGCCCTCCCCTGCCCTGCCTCCGTCTCCACTTCCGCGGGCGGGCGCCCCGAAGACCAGCAGCAGCAGCAGCAGCAGCAGCAGCAGCAGCAGCAGCAGCAGCAGCCTCCCCCCCAGCAGCAGCAGCAGCAGCAGCAGCCTCCCCCCCAGCAGGAGCAGCACTTGGACTTGGCTGAGGCGCGCAGCCCATCGGGGTTGCCGGAAGGCGCAGCCTCGGCCGCCGCCGCTGCTGCGCAGCACTCCCAGCAGCAGCAGCAGCAGCAGCAGCAGCAGCAGCAGCAGCAGCAGCTGCTGCTGCGGGAGTTCGTGGCGCTGGGGGACCCCGCGGACACGCATGCAGTGGTGGTCTCGAGCTCTCGGCAGTGGCTGAACTTCCGGCATATGGCCAACGCTCTGGCTTTCTACAAAAGTCTGAAACAACAAGGAATAAAAGACAAAAATATAATTCTGATGATCTCCGGAGAAGACGGGCCCTGTTCGCCCCGCAGCGCCTTCCCCGCCGGGGTGTACAGACACCGCAGCCGCGCGCAGAACCTCTTCGGCGGCCACGACGCCTGCGCCGCGGCGCTGCAGCAGCAGCTGCAGCAGCAGCAGCAGCAGCAGCAGCAGCAGCAGCAGCAGCAGCAGCAGCAGCAGCAGCAGCAGCAGAAGCAGCAGCAGCAGCAGCAGCAGCAGCAGCAGCAGCAGCAGCAGCAGCAGCAGCAGCAGCAGCAGCAGCAGGAGGGGGGGGAGTGCGCGCTGTTTGGGGAGGGGTGGGAAGGCGCGGAAGTGGACTACAGCGGAGAAGCAGCAAGCGTGGAGGCGCTGCTGCGGGTGCTGCTGGGTGTACATACACCCGAGACGCAGCAGCAGCAGCGGCTGCGCAGCAGCAGCAGCAGCAACTTGGTGGTCTTTCTGACGGGCCACGGCGGCAACGAGTTCCTCAAGTTCAGCGACTGGCAGACGCTGCAGCAGCAGCAGCTTGCTGCTGCAGTGCAGCGCATGCAGCAGCAGCAGCGCTTCCGCCGGCTGCTGCTGATCGCCGAGACCTGCCAGGCCGCCACGCTGCTCTCGGGTGTACGTACACCCCAAGTCCTCAGACTCTCTTCTTCCCTAAAAACTGAAAGTAGTTATTCTTACTTTTCAGATTCTGCAATGGGCACTTCTTTGGTGGACCGCTGGACCCACTCAGTGGTCAACTTCCTCAACCTCCACGCCAACCGCCACGCTGCTGCTGCTGCTGCTGGACAGCTTGGACCCCAACTTCCTCATGTCCAGGTGTGGGGTCGAGGAGGAACCGATCCCGGGATCGATCCCGGGGTCGATCCCCGGATCGATCCCGGGATCGATCCCGGGATCGGCCACTCCCCTCACGCAGCTGCCCCTCGAGGTCTTCTTCTCCGACAGACGCAAACCCGTCGCCTACAACTTCGCCTATCCTGCTGCTGCTGCTGCTGCTGCTGCTGCTGCAGCGGGGGACACCACTGCAGCAGCAGCAGCAGCAGCAGCTGCTGCTGCTGCTGCTGCTGCTGCTGCTGCTGCTGAACCGCTGCACCTGTGGCACTCCGAGGCCCTTAGATTCTTTCCTGCGCTCAATGCGCCCATGCAGCAGCAGCAGCAGCAGCAGCAGCAGCAGCAGCAGCAGCTGCACCAGCAACACCAGCAGCAGCAGCAGCAGCTGCTGCAGCAGCAGCACTTTGAATGGGTAGACCCAGCGGTGGCCGCTCCTCTTGCTGCTGTTCTTGCGGGGGTTGCTTGTGTGGCAACTGCAGCCTCTCTTTGAAACCCTAAACCCTAAACCCTAAACCCCAAACGCTTTGTCACTTTCTTTACTCCGAAGCCCCAGCGTCCTTCGCAAACCCTAAACCCTAGCCACCAACTAAACCCTAAAACCCTCTCCCTGTTCTCCAAACCCTCCCCCTACTCTCCAAACCCTAAACCCTCCTCACATTCTCCAAACCCTAAACCCTCCTCATATTCTCCAAACCCTAAACCCTCCTCATACTCTCCAAACCCTAAACCCTCCTCATCTTCTCCAAACCCTAAACCCTCCTCATACTCTCCAAACCCTAAACCCTCCTCATACTCTCCAAACCCTAAACCCTAGCTTGCGTCTGCTGAAGTGTACGTACACCTGAGATGGCACCCGGCCGCTAGAAGGCTTGCAGAGTCTAGGGTTTATCAACTAGGGTTTTGGACTAGGGTTTAGGGTTTAGGGTTTAGGGTTTAGAGTTCAGGAACTGTTGCCCCGCAAGACAAGACCTGCAGCGCTGTGCTGCGCGTGCTGGGGTGTACGTACACCGCATGTGCCCCAACAGAAACTCAACAAGCTAGCAGCAGCAGCTGCTGCTGCAGCTGCTGCAGTTGCTGCTGCTGCTGCAGTTGCTGCTGCTGCTGCTGCAGTTGCTGCTGCAGCTGTTACATACAGCAAAAGCCAACCGATAAGCAGCAAAAAAATGGAGCATCCGTTCCTGCCGCCGCAGCAGCTCTTGCTGCTGCAGCAGCAAGCGTTGCTGTATTGGCTCGTGCTGCAGCTGCAGCAGCAGCAGCAGCAGCTGCTGCTGCTGCAACAGCATCAGCTGCTGCTGCTGCTGCTGCTGCTGCCAGTTATGGCTCCGACTCACTCTTGCAGTCTTGGTATGTCCTGCGCACTCCGCGAGTTGTAATCGACGACGGTGTTACCTATGCAAACACCCCAAACCCTAAACCCTAAACCCTAAACCCTAAACCCTCGACGGCCAACTTACCCTTTGCTCTGCCCCAAAGCGCGAAGCGGCGCCGAGCCGCCGCTCCCAAACCCTAGGGGTGTCTTCCACCCCAACCCCAAGCCCTAAACCCTAAACCCTCGAAACCCTAAACCCTAAACCCTAAACCCTAAACCCTAAACCCTCGCTGACCATGAGGACCGCCTCCCTCTCCCCGGCCTTCAAGAACGCCAAGTCCTTTATGTAGTCGCTAATGCGCCGGATTTGATAGGCATCAGTTTTGCCGTTTTTCACGGCCCTGCAACCCAAACCCTAAACCCTAAACCCTAAACCCTAAACCCTAAACCCTAAACCCTAAACCCTGCCGCGAGTTGCCTCACGGGGCCCGGAGCCCCCGAGTTCGGCTTCGCTGCCCCCAAACCCTAAATCGGGGTTTGGGGCTTTGCCGACACGGCCACCGCTCGAAATCCTACACAACAAGGGCCCACGGCCTAGGGTTTAGAGTTTAGGGTTTAGGGTTTAGGGTTTAGGGTTTAGGGTTTGCGGACACGAAGTCCCAGATGATGACGAGGTTGTTGGTGCTGGTGACGATGTGCTGCTCCGCTGCATCAAAAGCTGCTGCTCGGAAGCAGCAGCACTGCAGGTTAAACTTGCTGACGTCCTGCAGCAGCAGCTGCAGCAGCAAGGGTTTAGGTTTTAACTCTCCCAGCGGAAAAGTAAACCCCGTTTTGCTGCGGCCCTCCGGACGCACGGGGTACAGCAGCAGGTACCGCGCGCAGGTCGCTGCAGCACACCGCAGGGTCTAGGGTTTAGGGTTTAGGGTTTGGGGTTTAGGGTTTGGGGTTTAGGGTTTGGGGTTTAGGGTTTGGGGTTTAGGGTTTGCGGGCGTGCACCGCAGCAGCAGCCAGTGAACTTTTGCTGCTAGGGAACTGCAGTTCCTCCCGCCCGAGAATCCCTCTCTCATTTCCAGGGTTTAGGGTTTGCGGTTTAGGGTTTAGGGTTTAGGGTTTGGGGTTTGGGGTTTGGGATTTGGGTTGGCCAAGTCGATGCACCCGCTGGACCTCGCCAGTTCGCAAGCAGCACCCACTGCCTCTCCCCACCCCCGACCCCCAGCCCACCCCTTAGGGTTTAGGGTTTAGGGTTTAGGGTTTAGGGTTTACCGAGAATCCAGCTGCCGTCGCGGGTGACTGCCACGTGGAGTATGGGGTCTCCTAAACCACTGATTTGTGTTTTAGCTCTTTTGTAAACCCCCTCATTATCTGTCTTTCCATCATAAAGTCTCAAAACCCCTTTGCTGCTCCCCAGCAGCAAGTGGCCCTCCTCGTCCGTCGCTGCAGCAAACCCTAAACCCTAAACCCTAAACCCTAAACCCTAAACCCTAGGCCCTGCGCTGGGCGCTCCCAACGCGCGCTGCTGCTCCCCGCGCGCCCTCTGGCTTCGGCAAAAACCCTAAACCCTAAACCCTAAACCCTAGGCTCCGCGATCCCGTGCGCGGGCTCCTAGGGTTTAGGAGGGTTTGCTAGGGTTTGCGCGGGCTCGCTAGGGTTTAGGAGGGTTTGCAGACCGCTAGGGTTTACGAGAGTTCAGTGCAACACACAAGTCCCCAGAGTCCGCTCGGGCTTGCTAGGGCTTGCTCGGGCTCGCTAGGGTTTGCCAAAACTCAGGGCTTAGGGTTTAGGGTTTAGGGTTTAGGGTTTAGGGTTTACCGCCGCAGGAAAAGCCCTGGTTCTGGGAGTAGGTGTAGTTGTGGCGAATTTCAGCTTCTTTGGTTCTGGTGTCTATACAGCAGAACCTCTTGTCATTAAATGCCAAAACCCTCGGCTCTAGGGTTTGTCTCGAGTCCGCCTTTAGCGGCAAAATCCCCTTCACCTGCGCCCCAAACCCTAAACCCTAAACCCTAAACCCTAAACCCTAAACCCTAAACCCTAAACCCTAGGCCCTACGCCCTCGCCGCTGTCTGCGCCGAGCTGCAGTGGCGCAGCCCCAAAACCAGCGTCTGCTAAGACCCCCAAGTGAACACCCCAAACCCTAAACTCTAAACCCTAAACCCTAAACCCTAAACCCTAAACCCTAGCCCTAGAGAGTGCACTGCTGTTCTAAAGTCGCCGGTGCTCAGACTTCCTGTGCGCGCCCAGGGCTCTCCAGGGTTTAGCCTTTAGCCTTTAGGGTTTAGGGTTTAGGGTTTAGGGTTTAGGGTTTAGGGTTTGACCTTCATGTCTACGTTGAGGGTTTGCAAAACTTGTTCTGTTTCCAAATTAAAAAGAAACGGAGGAGCTTTGGAGTCCTCAGCGGGCAGCAGCACGAGCCTCCTTTCCTGCAGCAGCAAAACCAAAAACAATAAATCAATTTAATTAATTTAATTAATTTAATTAATTAATTTAATCCATTTAATTAATTAAATTACTTAATTTAACTAATTTAATTAATTAACCAATCTAACTAATTTAATTAATTTAATTAATCGAAATAATTCAAGTAACTGTTCAATTAACTATCCGAAGGCTTGATGCAGCAGCAGAGGCAGCAGCAGCAGCAGCAGCAGCAGCAACAGCAGCAGCCACCTCTACAGCTAGCTAGCCAGCGAGTTGCGCAGCTAACCAGCTACCTAGCTGGCAGCTAGCCACTAGCTGGCTATCTAACCAACCAAACAGCTCGTTAATTCGCCAGCTAGCCAATCAGCTAGCTAGCTAGCTAGCCAGCTTGCTAGCCAGCCAGCTAGCTGTGCATCATGCCAGCTAGCCAGCTAGCTATCCAGCTGGCCAGCCAGCTAGCCAGCCAGCCAGCCTGCTAGCCAGATAGCTTGCAAGCCAACTAGCCAGCTAGCTACCCAGCCGGCTGACTATCCAGTTAACTTGCTAGCCAGCTCGCTAGCCAGCTAGGTAGCTAGCCAGCTAGCTAGCTAGCCAGCTAGCTAGCCATCTAGCTAGCCAGCTAGCTAGCTAGCCAGCTAGCTAGCTAGCCAGCTAGCTAGCTAGCCAGCTAGCCAGCTGGCTAGCCAGCTAGCTAGCCAGCTAGCAGACAGTCAGGGGCGGCCCGGGAGAGCCGGCGGCGAGCCCAAGTGCGCAGCAAGTAAAGGCAAACAGCAGCAAATAAACAAAATAAATAATAAATAAATAAAAAATAAATAAATAAAAATAAATAATTAAATAATAATAAATAATTAAAAATAAATGAATAAAAATTAATCAAATGCTTTGAGCAGCAGCTTACGCAGTCCTGCAGCAGCGCCGAAGACAGCCCCTGATCTTGGCCCTGCAAGTTTAGCTGAGAGCAGCAGCAGCAAAACAAACTGCAGCAGCAAATGTGCTGTTGCTGCTGCTGGTTCTGCTGCTGCTGCAGCTGCTGATGCAGTTGCTGCTGCTGTCCCTGCTGCTGCTGCTCTTTCTGTGCTCTTGGTGCTGCTGCTGCTGCTGCTGCTGCTGCTGCTGCTGCTGCTTCTCTTGGTGATGCTGCTGCCGCTCTCTCTGCTGCTGCTGCTGCTGCTGCAAGGCAGCAGGGAACGATGATGCTGGCAGCGAGTGCAGCAGCAGCACCACATCCTGCAGCTGCTGCAGCAGCAGCAGCAGCACGTGCAGCAGCAGCAACAGCAGCAGAAGCAACAGCAGCAGCAGCAGCAACATACTTTGGATCCGTCGATTGTCGCCACGACAGATGGCTTGCCATACTCGTCGAACCTGTGCATCATCCCGCGCACACCTTACTGCTAGGGTTTAGGGTTTGGGGTCTAGGGTTTAGGGTTTAGGGTTTAGGGTTTAGGACTCTAATGACCTGGGGCGTGGCGAACAGCAACTCCAAACTGGAGGCTTGCGCCAGGAGCCTACAGCTCCCGCCGCGCCTCGCGCTGCTGGCCCCAGGGTTTAGGGTTTAGGGTTTAGGGTTTAGGGTTTAGGGTTTGCGAACCTGAGGACTTGCATGTCCCTTTTTGTCTTGAGGGTTTGGCCCTCCGCCCCAACCCTAAAAACCACCGCCCGCTGCTGCCCAGCTTCCAGCATTTCGTTGGCCATGAAGTCGGGGGCCGTTTTCAGCAAGTCCCTGCGCCAAACCCTAAACCCTAAACCCTAAACCCTAAACCCTAATCCCTAAACCCTAAACCCTAAACCCTAATCCCTAAACCCTAAACCCAAGGCTCTGGCTCAAACCCTAAACCCTCGGTTAGACCCTGAACCCTCAGAGCGCTGAACCACGCGTCCCGGAGCTGTCATTCAAGCAACGTTCCCTAAACCCTAAACCCTAAACCCTAAACCCTAAACCCTCTCATCGGAAGCCCGCTGCACTGCCTGTGAAGCCAGCAGCTGCGCTACTGTTTAGGGCTTACGGTATAGGTTCAACACTGCAGGCCCCCTTAGGGCTTAGGGTTTAGGGTTTAGGGTTTAGGGTTTAGGGTTTAGGGTTTAGGGTTTACCTTGTTGGGTCTCTCGCAACAATGGGGAATTGTTCCTCATCATCTGACGGGTCGCTTTCTGCGTCTTCAATTTGCATGCCTTCTACCTCCCCGTCTGCGCAGCAAACCCTAAACCCTAAACCCTAAACCCTAAACCCTAAACCCTAAACGCTCCAGTCAGAAAGGCTTCGCAGCAGAGTAAGTGGGTCGTTAAAGGCCTTTGCGGGGCCCTGAGCTGGTCGCCCCTCTGCCTCGGGACCTAGGGTTTAGGGTTTAGGGTTTAGGGTTTGGGGTTTAGGGTTTAGGGTTTAAGGTTTACAACTGGGAGCAGTATTGAATTCCCCATAGTACCCAATTTGCTTCTCCAAATCTTCCTCTGGGGAGAAGCGGCATTTGCTGCTGACCTCCGCAAGGACTAGAGCATAAGTGTCAAGGAACTTGCGGCCCTGCTGCTGCTGCTGCTGCTGCTGCTGCTGCTGTTGCTGCTGCTGCTGCTGCTGCTTCTGCTGCTGTTCCTGCTGCTTTCGCTGCTTGGCCGTGGGCGGCGGGGCGCTGGACTCGCTCGCTGCTGCTGCTGCTGCTGCTGCTGGCGCTGCTGCTGCTGCTGCTGGCGCTGCTGCTGCTGCTGCTGCTGCTGCACTAGCAGCAAAACTAATCTTGTATAGCCGCTTATCCCCTTCAGGCGAAGGCCCCCACCACTGCAGCTCCTGCTGCTGCGGCAGCGGCACAATAAATTCGTCATAGGAAATGGCAACATAGCAGAGGGGCACAGGAATGCTGTCTGCTGCTGCTGCTGCTGCTGCTGCTGCTGCTGCTGCTGCTGCTGCTTCGCCAGAGGCAGCAGCGGCGTCTTCGTTCTCTGCAGCGTCGACTGCAGCAGCAACTGCTGTGGCGACCGGGTCTGCTGCAGCAGCAGGCAAAGTGCTGCTGCTGCTCGCCGCTGCTGCTGCTGCCTTCCCCTTGCCGCTGCTGCTGCCTTCTTTGCCCGCAGCTCCCTCCTTGCTGCTGCCGCCACTGCTGCTGCTGCTGCTGCTGCTGCTGCTGCTGCTGCTGCTGCTGCTGGCCTTGTAAACCAGCAGGTAGGCCTCTGAACAATCCTCTTTTTCCTTAATGAAGGCCTCCGCCTCGGACTCCACCGTAAGCCACTCATTTGCGAGGCGGTCGAACTGCTGCAGGCAGCAGCGGCTTGCTGCTGCTGCAGCAAAGCAGCAGCAAATGGAAGACACCATTAGCTGGCTGAAGAGCGCAGCAGCAGCTTCCGTCGCGAACACCAGGCCCAGTTCTGCTGCTGCATCTGCAGCACAAAAAAAACCCTCTTACGCGCTGCAGCAAACAATTAGCAACCGCTGTTGCTGCTGCAGCAGACGCTGCAGCTGCTGCAGCATCCAAGCAGCAGCTGCTGCTGTTGCTGCTGCTGCAGTGGCTGCAGCTATACATGCACACATATATGATAAAGAAATATAAGCATTCCCTCAGACTCTACAAAACTTTTAAAATAAATATAATGCGTCTTATCAAATTCAAAAATAAAAATGAAAATAAATGCATGTGGCTCTTCCTGTGCCCTCAAATCCAGGTGTACATACACTGCAACCCCAGAACGCATGCAAGGGCAGAGCCGCAAATAAAGAAACAAATTAAAGAAATAAATAAAATGAAATTTGAATTAAAAAGATCTGCACTGCTAATGCGGCGAGGTGTACAGACACCGCGTGCGCTGCGGTGTACATACACCCGGAAAATCCAAAATGTTCTGCGGTGTACATACACCCCAACAAAAAGCAGCTGCAGCAAGGCAAAAGATTGCAGCAAAATAAAACCATTAAAGACAATTAAATCCAGATTTATGAAATTAACAGAAATGAATTTATGCTGCATTAATGGAGGCATCTTCAGCGGCCACAAACTGCGTCAGGTGTATGTACACCCCGCGAGTTTCCGGACTAGCCGGCTGCTGCAGCAGCAGCAGCAGTTAAAGCTGCTGCAGCAGCAGCTTTAACTGCCACTTATACTTCCAAATTGCCACAATTTAGCATTTATTAATTAATTATTATTATTTTATTTATTTATTTATTTATTTATTTATTTATTTATTATTTATGTTCATATTATTAATCACCTGACTCTGTCTTCACCGCAAACTGCACCATGTCGGGCTTGTGCTGCCTGAAGCTGGAGACGGCGGAGTGCGGCAGCTCGAGGGCGAATTTGCTGCTGCTGCTGCTGCTGGCTTTGCTGCTGCTGCTGCTGCTGCTGCTGCTGCACTTCTTCAGGAAGCTGAGTTCTGCTGCTGCTCCCAAACCATCGTCTGGAGGGTCTCCAATAAAAACACAAGTCTCCGAAGATATTATTAAAGAACAATCCAGCAGCAGCTCGCTGCTCTTTTCCCCCCGCACCAGATACACGTCAACTGCAGCAACTCGCAGCAGCCCTAGGGTTTAGGGTTTAGGGTTTAGGGTTTAGGGTTACGGCTTAGGGCTTAGGGTCCAGTGAGCGCTTCAACAGAGTTCCTGGCCTGCGCTTTGCTCCCTCGGAGTTCCGGCCTGCCGCCTTCGCATTCAGGACCTAGGGTTTAGGGTTTAGCGTTTAGGGTTTAGGGTTTAGGGCTTACGGTTTAGGGTCTAGCGTTTAGGGTTTAGGGTTTAGGGTTTAGGCTCTTACCTTTGGAGTCGGCGAAGGGGTCTGAGCCCTTAGCGCTTTTGTCTTTCTTCTGCTGCTGCGACCGGCCTCTCAAGAGGCCCCCCAGTAGGCTTAGCATTGTGAAGTTCGGGTCTGGGGTTTACGGATTAGGGTTTAGGGTTTAGGGTTTATGGTTTGGGGTTTAGGCCCTAGCGTCAAGGGTTTAGCCTTTAAAAGATGAAGACACATGCAGAGAAGGACGCCCACGCGTCGCGCGAGTAAACGGCAGCTTGAGATGCAGCCAGTCAAGCCTCTAGGGTTTAGGGTTTAGGGTTTAGGGTTTAGGGTTTAGGGTTTGAGGATAAGAAGTAGAGAAGTGAGGTCTGGAGTTCGCGCAAACGTTCGAGCGGAGCTGCAGACGCTGAGCTCGGTAGTGGGTGTTGAGGTGTACATACACCTCAGATGTGCAGTGGAAACCCTTAATCCTAAACCCTAATCCAAAATCAAAAGCACTTCATTTCTTTTTCACTTGTGTGCCAGCATATATGAGTAGTTTCGTCGCTGTGTTGCTGAAGGTCGTCTGCTTCAGCAGCAGCAGCAGCAGCAGGAGCAGCAGCTGCTGCAGCAGCAGCAGTGGCAGCAGCGCCCGGGCAGCAGCAGGGCCCCAACGAGCTGCAGGCTTCTTCCTCTCCTGTCTCACAAATCTTTTATTTCTTTTAATTTTAAACTTCAAGACAAGTGGAATCAAACACACAAAACTGCGCACAGCCAGCAGCTGCAGCAGCAGCAGCAGCAGCAGCAGCAGCAGCAGGAACAGCAGCAGCAGCAGCAGCAGCATACCCTGTCCAGTGGTCCACTGGCGTCGCGAGCTGCTGAGTTGCCTTCTCAGTTCCTTCTGTCTGTACACTCCACGCTGCAGTTTAGTGTGTGCGAATATCCCACTTAGAAGCATCCAAAATCTGTGCCCGAAACCCTAAACCCTACACCCTAAACCCTAAACCCTAAACCCTAAACCCTCGGGAGGTTCCCGCTCATGTCTGCATTTGCTGTGTGCACTGCAGCAGCAAAGCCGTGTTCGCTCATCTCTCGCAGCTCCTTCAGCAGCGGAGGGTCTGGAGATTGGAATCCCTGTCTGGGGTTTAGGGTTTAGGGTTTAGGGTTTAGGGTCTGGCTGTTTGCAAGAACTTCGAGGGTTTGGGGCCCCCTCGAGTGCTCTGGAGGCCTCGAGGCCCCCCTTTGCCCCACAGGGGCTCACAGCCAGCCAGGGGCCCCCGGGGCCCCCCAGGCCCCCAAGGCCCCAGGGGCCCCAGGGGCCCCGGGGGGCCCCAGAGGGGCCCCAGGGGGGCCCCTGGGGGGCCCCTGGGGGGCCCCGGGGGGCCCCAGGGGACCCCAGGGGGCCCCTGCAGGGCCATTATTGGGGGTATTTCTTTGCAATAGCAGCTTTTGGGGCCCATGGGGCCCCCCAGAGGCTTTTGGGGCCTCCTGGGTTTTCACATTATGACCAAATAAATATTTGATAAATAAATAAATAAATAAAGACCAAAAAATGGCCTTAAGGGGGGCTTGGGGCCCCCCTGCTGGCCCCTGGGCCCCACAGATTTGGCCGTGGGGGGCCCCCTGGGCCAAAGTGGAGTTCTGCAATTTAAGAAAAGAAAAATTTAAGTAAGTGAAATGCAAAAATGGTTTAAACAAAAAAGAATTTAATTAAATGAAGTGCAGAAATGATTTATGTTGAAGGCCTGGGCGGGACAGAAGCAGCAAATAAGAGTCTTTAAAAGATTTAATTAAAATATAATTCCCAATTTAAAGTTTGGTTAAAACATTTAATCAAAATATAATTCCAAATCCAATATTTGGTTCAAACATTTAATTAAAATGTAATTCCTAATTAGATATTTCGCGTAGGGCTTTTCCAAATTTGAAGCTGTGAAGCACTTTGTCAATTTTTGGATATTAATTTTTTAATGAAAAATGAAATGCTTTTAGGAAAAGATTCTTTTCTTGAAAAAAGTAAAATGCTTTTAAGAGAAGATTCTTTTTTTGAATAGTAAAGACCTTCAAAAAAGATTTTGTGTTTCCTGGAAAGTTTGGAACTTATACAATGAAAAAGTTAAAAATTCTTTTTTCTGTGTGCCGCTCGTCCTTAGCTGCAAACTTTTCATAAAATAAATTTTCCAAATTATAATGCGGGGCTGTTCTATTTTGAGAATCTAATTTTTAAAAAGTTTATGCAACAATAGTACGAGACGGAGAAATAGTTTGGAAATAAGTTTATGGGAAGTTTTTTTATTTTTAAGGACTTTATTTCCATTTATGGAACGTTTTTTTTTATTTTTAAGAATTTTATTTCCAAGTTTGTGCAGCAACATTGTGACGGAGGCAAACGGAAATTAAGAACAAGATGTTTGAGAAATGCCTTTTTTACAAGAAATATATTTTCAAGTTCTTGCAATAATATTATGACAGAAACAAACAGAATTTGGAAATATAATATTTATTAAGTGCTTTTATTTTCGAGAATTTTATTTGCAAGCTCATGCAATAACATCTTAACAGATGCAAACGGCAAAATGCTCTCATTTTTAAGGATTGCATTTTCAAGTTCATGCACAAACATTATAACAGAGGCAAACAGAATTTTGGGACAAAATGTGTGCACACACTACAAAAAATGCCATTATTTTTAAGAAATATATTTCCAAGTTCATGCACTAAATAGGAATTTTGGCACATAATGTGTATGATAAGTCTTTATTTTTAAGAAATATATTTCACATAATGTGTATGATAAGTCTTTATTTTTAAGAAATATATTTCCAAGTGCATGCACTGGCATTAACAGACAAGCAAACAGGACTTGGAAATAAAATATTTATGAAATGGTTCTGTTCGCAGAGTTGAATTTCCAAACTCATGGGCTAACACTACAGCAAAGGCAAACAGAACTCGAAACACATTTTCTACAAAATGTTTTTAAGAGATATATTTCCGGACATATCTTTTCAAATTCATGAAGTATCGCCACACATAAACAGAAGTTTTCAAAAGTAAAGCAAAAATGGTCCATTTTGAATTTGGAAAAAGCCATTTTTGCCTTCATTTCCTTCATTTGGGAATCACCTTCTGTGCACTTTGGCAAACGCAAGGAAACTCGAACCAGCTTCTGTCTTGTTCGCCGGAATTTGTATTTTAGAAAAATTGCAATTTCTAGACGGTGGAAAACAATTGAAATACTTCAGGCCGGACTCAGATCACTGGCTACAAAGAAAAGGATTTGAATCATCTTGTGTTCTTGTTCTCTGTACATTTTGTGTTTTCTTCTCTGCATTCTATCTAAAATTAACTTTCATTTAATATAATTTGATGAATAAAAGGAGACTTATTGCTTAAGAGGAATAAGATCCAATAAGATCCAGTCCCACTCTGCCGCCTGCCACTGCACCCAAAAGCCCCCCGATGCATGCATGCAAGGGGCTGGAGCTACTCTTACAGAAGCCCCACAGAGCTCAACTGAGGGTTTTGAAATTGTTTTTCTTTTTATTTCAATTTATGTAATTCAGCAATCAAAAAGATCGCGGCTTTGTTGCGGCCACTCCGCAGCCGCGAAGAGCTGCGCCGCGAACTACAGTGGGAAAGAAAAATGGCCTTGAGAGGCACTGCTAATTGCATGCAACACATTTGCACTTCGACCCGCATGCAAAGCACAAAAATGAAAGAATTATAAAGGTGAATAGGCCCTGTAGGCTCTGTAGTCAAGTTAAGCTTTTTGCCATCTGGCAGAACTTCGCATGCTGCGTTTCTGGGACCGCCAAAGCCCAGTTTTTTGAATCTTTTTAGAGGTCTGGGACTTCCAAAGCTAATTATTGACCTTAGAAAATGTTTGTACATCTTTGCATAGTGTTGGGAGTGTTTTCAGGATGGCTAAAAACACTCCCAACACTGTGCAAAGATGTACAAACACTTTCACCAGGATGGCTGGTAACTGACAAGAATGTGGAAGCCAAGCCTTGTTCTCGGCATTTCCATTTCCATTTTGGTCTTTCACATTTCTGTCTTTCATGTTCAGGATCGGATTCATAGTGCAATCTGCACTCCAGTGATTGCCCATCTTTATGACTCCCGCAGAACTATGGGTGAAAGTATATTTAGACTGTCTTTTACTGCATGCAGCTCATCCTGACAGGCCACGAAATACAAAAAACCCTTTTTTGTCTTTTATTGAATAATAGTATAAAATAATGAGCATGCTGATCTGTCTGTACACGCTGGAGTGCATCGGCTTACCTCTTTGCTGACCTGGCGGGTCTTCTAGTACTAGCCCAAGAGGCACTTCTGCCGAGGGGCCCCAACCCTCCCGAGTTCCCAGATTGTGAACATATTACCTTAAAAAATGTAATTTTTGTTAAACCTCTCAACATTTATGTGAGATAGGCTGCTTGGGCACGAATTTCCGTGCAGTTAGCTCGGCTGGGTGCCTCTCTGTGCCTCCTAAACTAAGTACCTAGATTGTAGTGCTATGCTTTCTGAGTGCTCACTGCACTTCATTTCACACGTTATAAAATTGGAAATGAGTTAATTTAAAAGATTAAAAAGGCTGATCACCACTCCCTGCAGCGTTGAGTGCTCAGTTGCATTAGTGGCCTCTCACCAACCGAGGCAAGCCAACTTTGTGGTTCATGTCATTCCAGCTCATAATGCCACTTTTTACTACTCTGGACACATTTTTTCCTTTTTAATGCAATTGATTTTTGATTCCAGGCATCATTTGCTTGAATCCTGACAGCGATATTGATCTTCGCCTCATTTATGCTACTGTGTCCAGCCCCAAAGCGCAAGTGGCTTCATCTTCGTGTGCTCGTGATCTGGCCCCGATCTGGGGCTTTCTTAGACATTTTTTATTTTATTCTCTTAATCTTTGTCTATCTGAAGTGCTCAAAAGCAAGGGCATGCAACAACTTGCTTTCGCTCGATGCCAGTGCTAGACATCAAAGAGAATTGAAACAGTTGCATGAAATGACTTTTTGTCGAGTGCCCCGCTTGTTCTGCAGTTCCGTATGCAGTTATGCGCATTCTACACCTAAAAATAATGTGCAAAGTTGGTGAAGTTTACCAAGTTTTTCGAGCTCAATCGTGTTGTGTACTAGGCGTAAAGTTTGTTTCGAGCTGGGTCCAGCGCGCCTCAGTTCATAGACAAAAAATTCAAGTAATCCCGCGATTCATTCTTGTAGTGCTGTAATAGAATGCGTGCAAAAGCAGGCAAAACGATGTGTGGTTAGTGGTCTTTGTGGAGTTGTACTCTGCATGCATCCATTTCATCCATGGAATTAATTAGCTGGAATCTGCATTATTGCCCGCAGTCAAAGTAGGAAAGAAACGAATACTAAAAAGCATCAGGCAGCTTTATACACTGTGCCATTTTGCTTTTAGTGGAGCATCCCGTGCATGCTTTTTGATAGTTCATCGGGGCTGGATGGGACTGTTCCACTGCCAGGGGGAATCGGAGTATGAAAAATACTACTACTTTTTCACTAAAGGAACCTAAAATTCCTGAATACATGTAATTATGTAATAGCTATCTGGATTGCAGTTTTGTATACGTAAGTGTGCAAAGTTGAGAGCGACAGGCAGCAGAGTAGCGCTCTCTTGCCAACTGCGTAGGCATAACCGGCTTACTCGATTCTACCAGCTCTTATTGAGTTTCTGGATGAAGTAGCTATAGTGTCAGCAGAAAGTAAATACCAAAAGACCAAGCATTTTCGGAAAAGCTTGTTTGTGATGTGGTGAGAAGTTCGCTCAATTTCTTGCCGGCATGCCATCCTCCCTGCCAAGGAAATACAGCATTATGAAATGATGTATACAAGCTTGCGAGACGGTAATAGGAAGTTAGCAAAAGTTTAACCAGCCTTGTCTAAAATATATCTTAAACTTCGGTAGCAGTGGCCTCTCAGGGGCTATTGTCACGAATTGCTGAACAGGTGTAGTCGCCAGGACTACGCAGCATGCATTGAAGATCCAATCAGCTCTAGTCCTCGCCAACAAAGATATTCACACTTTCTTTACAAGAAAGGAGCCACTTGTCGCAGCATTTGGTGCCAATTAGTTTTTCAGCACATACCAGGCGTGAGCGCTCCTTCCAAAAGAGGAATGCGTGTGCTGCGGCTTCAGTCTGACAGAACTGTTATTAATTACCAACAAAAAGGTTCTCTTATCTGCTGAAAGCATATATGCATACTGAAACTTTGTTTTTTGGGGCTTTAGGCACTCTTCACGGAAATCGTGAACAGTAAGCACTTTCGCCTCGGGCCCCAAGAAGCGCAGGTTCCGGAATCCACCTTGCAGCTATTCTCAGCTGCACACCTTACAGTAATATTTTTGTTCATCTTTCGCAATACTAAACTTCTGCATGCTGCGAATACCGGGGGTCACAGTAATGCGTAGTGCTTCTGGGCACTTCGTTGGTGGGTGAATGAATACCAAGCCTGCCTAGGTGCTGAATACTGTTGTACCAGAACCGCCATGGAGTGTGTTTTGCTTAATTCAACAAATTATATTGGAAAGCGGAGAACTTCGCCTTTTTTAGTGTGCGCTGCTGCGGCTTGTGCACGAAGGCCGGCGGGTTCGTTGTTTCGCGGGCAAGTGAGTAGGCATTTTCAGAAACCCAGTTCTTGCATTCGGTAGACTCATGAATTGCTCTAATGCATATTTATATAAATAGTGTTGGCTGAAACGCCTGTCTTGCGCCCCTTTGTATTGGCCAGTATAACAGTTTCCACCCCTTTCCAACGCCTCTCCCGAATCCTGCGAGTATCTGTTGGCTTTTCTTGGCTTTCCTTGGCTCTCCTGGCGATATCAGTCGTTTCCTCTTTTTGAAATGTTTCTCTTAATGTTGTGAGTTGTGTGCCAGTCTCGGGCACTGCCTCTTCTGTGGCGTTAGGATGCACTTAACGGAATAGCAACTAAATTCTGAAAGATACTGTTTCGTTTGCCTGTCATTGTGGCTGTCGCTGATGCCCTCACTTCCACTTGCTAGCTTCTTTCTTCAGCAATTTAGTTGCAATGCGATGCACGGATTCATTTGCTCATGGCGTCAAAAGTGTGTGTAATATTTTATTTTCAGAATTGGCCAGGTTTAGGGGACTTTGCTATTGCATAGGAGTAATGATTTCCGCTACAACACACTTGCAAGAATATAAATTGAAAACGCGTGAATAATATGACTTCCCTGTTAGCTCCACTGGCATTGTTGACCCTTGGAGCCTCAGTGAAGGGAATACTGACTTCCAAACATGCAGCGCGTCTTGCGCAATTGTGGCCAGTTCCTGCAATATATAAATAGGTATATAAAGATGTATATATACAGGCAAATATATATATAAATATATATACATAATATATATAAAAATATATATACATAATAGACCGTGATACTGCCCCAGTTCCCCGCCAACCCAGGCAGCCCTGCACACAGTTTCATAAAGAGAAAAAACCCTCAAAGCCTCCTGTACTATTCTGCACTAAGAGGGTTTTCAGGCCAAGGAGATGAAAACCCAGAAGCTGCAAATAATGCGACAACTCTGCCAGGAAAATGCGCCACACCTCCAGCCCAAATGCATAACTAGAGCGGCGAGAGCTTCCTTAGAGAAAGCGCTGTTACTAAGGAAAGAAACATTCAAGAAACCCCGTTTAGTGATTGTCGAAACTGCGGAAATTGCAAAGTGCTTCTTACTGAAACAGTTGCTGTTTCAGGTGGCTAACTAGTTGAGTGAGTAGCTGCCTTTCTAGCTACTCGGTTAGCCTTATAGCTAGCTAGCTAGCTAGCTAGCTAGCTGCTAACTAGCTCGCTGGGTATCTGGCTGTGTCTGTGCAAATTCATAAACTGCTGCTACTAGGCACTGCTGGTGGACTTTCTCGCCACCAAATGGCCCCCACTTTGCCATTTTTAATCTAAATTGCCTAACAGCAACAGTAGTGGGGTTCGAACCTGCACGGGCGGAGTGCAGCAGAGTTTTAATCCTTACTGAATGAGGCTGTTTGTGGGTTACAGCAGTGACGCGAAGACAGGCAACTTGGCTGGCCACTGCAGCAAACAAAAGCAGCCTTCAGGCCTTAAATAAGCCTTAATGACTCTATAAAGAGGAAATGAAGAATGTACAAACAATGTTTGGAGGCTACTGTTGTTTGCTGCTGCATATGTCGTTTCCGGGGAGTCTGTAGCTCCTGCATGCCTGAGGTGACACCGGCAGTCAAAGCTTCGAGGAAATTTGATACTGTGAAAACATTAAAAGAAAAGAAATGAGTGGGATTATTAATGACTCATTAATTACCCAAACTTGCAAATTGCCAAATCAAGATGTTCACCAGAACCCGAAGCCGCTGGAGCACCACTGGTATCGATGCAGTCTGGACAGCATGAGGGGAACATGTCTAGGGCTGGATATTAGCATTCCGGAGTAAATTCACGAAAAACATTTGTTAAATTGTATTTAATGCATAAGTTTGAATAAAGTTGGACTAGCCAGAGATGGAAATCGACAGACACGGCAACAGGGATGGGTGAACCGCCTAGCTGCCGACGGACGCCACGCCTCCTACTCCAGTTTCTATGTTTGCTTTTGTCTCTTCCTTTCTTTTGCAAAGTTAATAAATACTTATTTAGAAAGAAAGGCCTGCGGGGTTGCCTGGGCTAAACCGAAGCTCACGGCAGCAGCAGCAGCAGCAGCAACAGCAGCAGCAATGGGCAGCACCGGCAGCGAAAGTCGCTGCTGCTGCGGCTCATCCGTGATCGATCGGCGCGCGCTGATCTGCTCTCCTGCTTTTTTCTGCCGCCGCATTTCACAAAACTATTAGCTAAGCAACAAGAATATATTTATATAGACTTCTTTTTATTTTCTGTCTCTGCCGTACAACAACAGTGACCTTCAGTACCTCGTTTTGCCCCCCGGCTTGTCGCTTCATCGGCTGTCTTTGCTGCCCACGTGGGGAGGCAGACCGGCGGTCAGGCAGCAGCAGCAGCAGCAGCAGCCTTCACTTCTAAAGTTTTATTCTTTTTGTCTTTGGCAGCAGACATCTGCTAGCCCGTAAGCAGGCTCAAGGAAACAAAGACACCGGCACGAGCAGCAGCAGAGCTTTTATCCCGCCGCCCGGCCAAAGCAGCTGCAGCAGGAGGATCTGCAGCAGCAGCTGGACTTACTGCAGCAATTGCAAACACCAGAATTAGTTCATTTCTGCTGCTCATGTGCGCTAGCTTTCCCGACCAGCCTCAGGTGTACAGACACCTCGGGGAACCCTCTGCCGAACTTCTCGAGTTAAGCGCACAGGCAGATGGCTCTTCTGCTGAGGGTTCCTACTGCATTCACTTATGGAATCGGCAAGTTGATTTGCTGGACTCCTTCATACTGAGTGTGGAGAGAGAGGCAGCAGCAGCAGCAGCAGCAGCAGCAGCAGCAGCGGGCCGAGGGGCGCTGCCGGGCGGTCAGGCGCAGCCGGAGCCGCGGCCTGTGCTGCTGGGGCCAGGGGCGCAGGCGCAGCAGCAGCTGCTGCCGCAGGAACCGCAGCCACAGCAGCCGCAGCCGCAGCAGCAGCAGCCGCAGCAGCCGCAGCAGCAGCAGCAGCCGCAGCAGCAGCAGCGGCCGCCGCGCCGGCGCACGGGGGCCGCGTTCAAGAGCCGCTCCAGACAATGCAGAAGCAGGCCAAAGTCCAGCAAAGCCAACAGCCCAGCCCCCAGCCCCGCAGCTTCTTTGTGTTCCTCTCAGGCGGAAACTCACATCCCCTCGCCTTCCAGTTCCCCGGACTCTCTTCTGGGTTGACTCATCTTGGGCCGCATGCAAAGCCCCAAAGGAGGGCAAAGTTCACTGGGGGCTCCTTCGGGGGCCCCCAGGGGCCCCCAGGGGCCCCCAGGGGCCCCCAGGAGTCCCCGGGGGGGCCCCGAGGGGTCCCCGGGGGGCCCCCGAGGGGTCCCTGGGGGGCCCCGGAGGGGCCCCCACGCAACACTTGACTTCCGTTGCGCCTTACTTTCGATGCGCGTACTGGCGGAGCCACGGGGGCCCCCAAAGGCACGCTGGGGGGCCCCAGGGGGCCCCCGAGAAGCCCGTGGCTGGCCAAGACACAAAGTGGGCCTAAAGAGGCCTTGGGCGTTTTCTTCGGGACACAAACAAACAAATATATATCCTGTTTGTCAGGGTTTGAGGCTCTCCTAGTTTAGTTCTTTCTCAAGTTCAAGGGGGCCCCAGCACAAGGCTTCTGGGGCCCCCAGAAAAGGGGTCTGGGGGCCCCCGCCCTACACAAAACAAAGAGAGGAGTAAGAGACAGCCCCACCGGCTTTACGCAGCGCGAGTTCTTTCGAAAGAAGCCGACACAAGGAGTCTCTCCCTCAGAGCCTGCTGCCCTTGGCCTCACCTGGTGGCCCCCGGGGGGCCCCTGGGGTTCGCCGGCGGGGCTTCCCTGGGGGGCCGCCGGGGGGCCCCACAGAAGCCCGAGGGGCCCCCGAGGGGCCCCCGAGGGGCCCCACAGGAGCCCGGGGGGCCCCGGGGCCGCGCTAGTCCCGCAGGGAGTCTTTGACGCGCCTTCCGAAGCCGCAGGGGCGGGCAGGGGGCCCTCGGGGCCCCCAGGGGGCCCCCTGGGGGCCCCCTGGGGGCCCCCAGGGGGCCCCCGGGGGCCCTTTAGGCGAAGCGCATGGGGCCCCGCGAAGCCCCGCTAGGCCTATTGGAGGGCAGCGGGAAGTCTCCGGTGCCATTGAGTCATATGTGTCTTCCCAGGGCTAGCAACTGTAGACCCGTCTCGCAGCCTGCTCCTGCTACAAGCAGCAGCAGCAGCAGCAGCAGCAGCAGCAGCAGCCACAGCAGCAGCAGTTACGGCAGGCCCAGTGCGCCTCTGCCGCCCCGCTGCATTCGCAATGGGGCCTGACTTTGAGTTTGGCTCCTTTAAAACAGCTTGATAATTTCGTCCGTCTACGCTTTGCTGCTGCTGCTGCTGCTGCTGCTGCTGCAACTGTGGCCGCTGCTGCCGGTGCTTAGCTGTCGCTGCTGCTGCTGTTGCCTCTGCGGCTGCTGCTGCTGCTGCACTCTAGTTCTTATTTCTTTGTGGCTGCCCCGTCCTCGCTGTTTTTAATTTGGGTGGTTTCCTGTTTGTTGCGCTGAGGGCATTCCCAGCAAGTGCTGGAAAACCACCGCGGCAAATATAGGCAAATTAATGGCTAGCTAGCTGGCTAGCTAGCTATTTAGCTAGCCAGCTGGCTGGCTGGCGGACGAGCCAGCTAGCTAGCTAGCTAGGCTGGGGTCTAGCTGGGCAGCTAGCTCGCCAGCCACCACTGCTTCGGTGGCTGGTTCCAGCTAGCTGCAGAGACGGGCCGAGGAATACTAACAATGGGCTTGGCTGGCCGGCAGCTTTCCGGCCAGTAGCTAGCCGCCGAGCAAGCCAGCTAGCTGGTCAGCTAGCCAGCTAGCTGGCTAGCTAGCCAGCTAGCTGGTCGTTTGAGCCAGCTAGCTTGCCAGGGGGCTGGAGCGCCTTGGGCCCGGCGCAGGACCCTTACGGCGCCGTACTATTCGTCTAGCTGTACAACTTGGCGTCTGTCAAAGCTATGGCTGCTGCTGCTGCTGCTGCTGCTGCTGCTGCTGTTGCTGCAGATGAAATGTACGTACATATGATGACCAACATGCAATATTACGGCGCATGCACTCCGCCAAAGAAAGCAACGGTCCCTAGTGACTGCAGGGAGAGGGCGAGCTCGCTGCTGCTGTTGCTGCTGCTGCACTGCGAAGGACTTTCGCTGCAGCACTCAGCGGCAGCAGCAGCTGCTGCAGTTGCTGCTGCCCCTGCTGTTCAACGTTTTTCGAGTTAATGATGTACATGCAGCCCCCGCCGAGGCTGCATGCAGCAGGCACAAATAATGCTGCTGCTGCTGTTGCTGCTGCTGCAGCAACAGCGCATCTGTTCGCCTCTTGGTCTTTCTGTCCATTCCTTTATTTAGTCGCTCATCTTCTCTGTCTTCTTCCTTTTTCTCTCTTTGCCTTTGGCACTCAGCGCTCCTGAAGCTGCCAAAACCAAACCAAAGGGCCACCTGCTGCTCCTGCTGCAGCAGCTGCTGCTGCTGCTGTAGTGGGAGCCACATCCATTGGGAACCAGCTGCTGCAGCGCTGTTCTAGTTGCTGGCTATGCAGTTGCTGCCACTGCCGCTTGTTGCAGCAGCAAGGCCTGCCGTGCCGCCGCAGCTGCTGCTGTTGCTGTTGCTGTTGTTGCTGTTGCTGCTGCTGCTGCTGCTCAGTAGATGTAGGCAGAGTAGACCCCACAGGCAATGCCCAGGAGCAGCAGCAGCACTGCAGCAGGCCCGACGATTTCCTTTTCCTCGAATCTTGGGACAGCAGCACAGGCGCCAGCAATGGCAGTGGTGGCGCAGCAGCCGTTGGTGACCGCGAGAGCAGCAATTAGGAAAAAGTAAAGAGCAAAAGAATTAAAAAAGGGATGTTCCACGAAGACAGTGCCGAGAACAAAGAAGATTCCCAGCAGCGGCCGCAGCAGCACCAGCAGCAGCAGCGCGCGGCGGGAGAGCCGCAGCCAGCGGAGCCTGGGGTGTCTCGACAGGTCCGGCAGCGCCTTTCCCACGAAGTCCCCCATGCAAAACACTCCAAATAATATTATATATTGTTCATTTGCTGCACTTTTGCTGCTGCTGCTCCAGCCAATTGGCCCCACCCGCGGGTACAAGTGCATGCTCACAGCCAGCGTGAAGAACACGCTGAACAAGTACGGCCAGCTGGCAGCAGCAACGTGCCGCCAGCCGCGCGACGGCAGCGTGCTCTCGTCGATCTCCCCTGCTGCTGCTGCTGCTGCTGCTGCTGCTGCTGCTGCGGGGGCGCCTTCCGTCTCGGCGCCTTCGGGCTGCAGCCGCCAGAAGCTGCTGCTGCTGCTGCGCGGGCTCGTCAGGCTGCTGCTGCTGCTCCCCGCGCCCTTGCGGATCACCACCAGCTCCTGCGTCCGCGCGTCTCCTGCTGCTCTCACTGCTGCTGCTGCTTCTGCTGCTGCTGCGTGGGTTCCTCTCCACCGCCGCAGGAAACGCTGCCACGCGCTTTGCTGCTGCGGCGGCTGCGGAGCAGCAGCTGCTGCAGCAGAGCACGCGCACGACAGCGACCACACGCCGCACCGCGTCCGGGAGCCCTCCTGCTCTTCCTGTGCTGCTGCTGCTGCTGCTGCTGCTGCTGCTGCCCGCGCGCGCTTCGCCACCCAGTACCGCTGCAGCCCTCCGCGAGCCCACGGCTGCTGCAGCGACGCCAGCAGCAGCACAGCTGACACCAGAGACACCGCTGCACTTGCCCCAAAAACCAGCCTGCAGCAAAAACAGAAGCAGCAGCAGCAGCAGCTCCACGGATGGCGCAGCAAAAACAAAGTGGGGCCTAACGGCCTCTGCTGCTGCGCCTCATGCTGCAGCCAGCTAGCCACTTGCTGCCTGACTACCCAGCGGCTAGCTGCTAGCCAGCGGCTAGCTACGGGTTGGCTAGCTGTGGCCGCCGGCTAGACGCGCCCGCAGCTGGCTGCGCGGCTAGCTGTGCAGCTAGCCATGCAACTAGCCGTGCAGCTAGCCACGCAACTAGCTGTGCAGCTAGCTGTGCAGCTAGCTATGCAGCTAGCTGTGCAGCTAGCTATGCAGCTAGCTGTGCAGCTAGCAATGCAACTAGCTGTGCAGCAAGCTATGCAGCTAGCTGTGCAGCAAGCTATGCAGCTAGCTATGCAGCTAGCTATGCAGCTAGCTGTGCAGCTAGCTGTGCAGCTAGCTGTGCAGCTAGCTGTGCTCACCAGAACATGTGCACGGCTCCTTGATAAGTGGCCAAGTCGAAGAGGTAGCGCGAGGCCACCAAGTTAACTACGAAGGCGACGATGCCGCACACACCCTGACCTGCAGGGAAGCAGCAGCAGCAGCAGCAGCAGCAGCAGCAGCAGGAATGGCAGACGAGCAGCAGCAGGCGGGAAGGCCCAGCAGCAGCAGCTGCCGTGGCGGCCCATCAGCAGCTGCAGAAGCCTTGCAGAAGCGGAACAGACGAGGACTCCCCCCAAGACAACGCAGCAGCAGCAGCAGCAGCGATTCCACAGCAGCGATTCCCCAGCAGCAGCAGCAGCAGCGGCTCCGCAGCAGCAGCAGCTACTCCGCAGCAGCTGCAGCAGCGACTCCGCGGCAGCAGCGGCAGCAGCTGCTTTGCAGCAGCAGCGGCAGCAGCTACTTTGCAGCAGCAGCAGCTACTCCGCAGCACCAGCAGCAATCCCTCAGCAGCAGCAGCAGCGACTCCGCAGCAGCCGCGACTCTGCAGCGGCAGGTGCAGCAGCGATTCAGAGCAGCAGCAGCGAGTCCGCAGCAGCAGCAGCAGCGTCTCCGCAGCAGCAGGTGCAGCAGCTGCTCCGGGGCAGCAGCAGCGGCCGCGCGGCGGCACCAACAGCAGCGGCTCCCGAGCAGCAGCAGCAGCAGCAGCAGCAGCAGCAGGAGCAGCAGACGGACCCATGGAGAAGGAGCCAATGAAGCCAAAGGGGAGGGAGGAGGCGAGGGCAATCGATCCCCCGGAGACGATCCCAGCGCAGACTCCGAAGAGGAGAGCGACGGCGTGGAAGAGGAGGAGGCTTGGGGTGTACGTACACCTGGTGAGCACGAGCGGCAGCAGCGCGGCCAGCGCGGCGTCGCAGAGCACCGCAGAAACCACCAAAGAGGGTTTCATTGCATCAATAAAGAAAATAAATAATAATTGAACAGCAATGCACCCCACTTGGTAAATGCCTAAGACGCTGTTGCCGTAGGGGGCCCCCCCGTAGGCGTGCTGCTCGATGTAGGGCAGCATGCCCAGCAGCGACTGCCAGCACACCAGCGAGGCCACTCCGCAGAAAAGAAAGGTAATAAATCCAAAAGTCACTTCTCGGGGGCCCCCCTGGCGGTCTTTGGGGCTCGGGGGGCCCCCGGGGGGCCCCTCTGCTGCGAGGCTCGCCGCAGCAGCGCGAGCCGCTGCTGCTGCTGCTGCTGCGCGCTGCTGCTGCTGCGCCCCAAGCTGCGGCGGGCTGCTGCTGCACGTCGGCTCAATCGCCACGCTCCGCAGCCCCACGCACAGGCCCTCCGTCTCCATGCTGCTGCTGCTGCTGCTCACGAAACGCTCCCCGCTGCTGCTGCTGCTGCAGCTGCTGCGCGGCCGCTCCGCAGCAGCAGCAGCTGCTGCGGAGATCCCGCAGCAAGCCAGCGGCCGCGGAAACAGCGCCTCCTGGGGATGCAGGGGGGCCCCCAGGGGGGGCCCCTGCGCGGCCGCGGACTTGGGCTGAGAGAGCCCGTGGTGCTGCTGGAGAGGCTTGGCTGCATCGACAGTGGACGAGGTGTGGGCAATTCGAATTTCAACCATTTTAAATCCTCGCAAGAATGCTAAAAAGAAGCAAATGGCTCTCCAAGGAGGCCTTTGAGTGGTCAAGAGGCCCGCTGGAGACACAAACAGCCAGCTGGCGGAGGCCCCAAGGAGCGCAGAGTCCAGGAGAGAAGGCAGAGCCGCCGCCAGGCAGGAAAGAGACACAGAGACGCGCCACCAACTACATCGAGGAGGGTTTGAGAAGTCCCCCGAGGGTTTAGGGTTTAGGGTTTAGGCTTGGAGCCCGTCTTCAAGAACAGCATCTGGGCGACAGACTGAGGGGGACAGAGGCGGCACTGCAAGCCGCGCCGAGACAGAGACTAAAGGCCCCAATTGCCCTTCATGCGATCTAAAGAACAAAAAAGAGACACAAAAAGAGGCAAAACACCCAGTGAAGAGCCGCCGCAAACCCCTGTGTCGCGCAGCGGGGATCCCAGGCGCAACGAAACAGCGGCAGCACATGCAGGTCACGCCGCAGGCTGCCAAAAAGGATACTCCGCAAGTCCCTTAATTTTCCTTCTGTTTTCTTCTAAATGTAAACGGACTTAAAGACTCAAAATGCTAACCCTTGAGCCACAGCCAGAACCAGCAGATTGTGTAGCTGCCCCCACCTGGAGTGGTGGCGGGCACTGGCCTGAAGCGGGCTGGAGTACATTCATTATATTTAATTCCACACGACTCCCTTTTTAGTTTCTCTTCTTAAAAAGCCCATCGGAGACAATTAGTTGCGCTTCGCTTCACTCCAGTGGGCCGGCAGCAGCCGTCGATATCCTGTTGTTACACAGCGCCGCGCAGCTGCCTGCTGCGCTTTGCGCTGTAGCGGCGAGAATAGGGCTGAGAGTGCTTAAGTGGAAAAGAAGCAACATTAGCATCAAAAACCAATTAGGGAGCTTAGTTAGACTGATAAAAGAAAGCAAACAAAACGTTCCGTCGCCGGGACTTGAACCCGGGTCGCGCGGGTGAGAGCCGCGTATCCTAACCACCTAGACTACGACGGATACGGAAGCAGCTCTTCTTCGGCTGCTCCATCTGCCAGTGGCCCCGTGAAACAGAAGGACAGGACACACCGCGGCTCAACGGGTTATCTTTGAAACGGCGGGAGAAACTCTGAAATATAAAGCTTAACGATGAAAAATAGTATTAGTTGCCTGAGTTTCACTCTGGTGGACATATCGCTTTCACTGCCTTCCCTGTTAACGTGGCTTCCCACCATTGCCGCAGTGGACAAGTAATGCGGCCCGGTGGCGTCTGTGGGGAGCCCTCAGGGAATCTTTTTTCTAATAATAATTTTTTTTCGGGGTTTATTTCTTCTCTCCAAGGAACAAAAAAGAGCCAAACAGGCTCTGGGGCGCTGCGTGCACTACGAAGTAGTGCTTGTGCTGCAGCCAGGCGTCTGAGGCAGGTCATCGGCTGCGCGCAAAAGAGCAACAAAGACACAAGCAAAGGCCGAAACTACGACTCCTTACTACGGGCTTCGTAGGCCCTCCTTGAAATTTGGCGTTTTGTTGGGGTCGAATTTTGGGGATCGCCATACTGAGTGTGGCTGGAGGCGATGCGGGTAGGGCGCTACGCTGGCAGCGGCCTCAGCCGCTGCAGCGGCAGCTGCTTCTGGCAAAATGTTTCTCAGTGTTTTATTGGAGGGTTTATAGGTCTGGCGGCAGCGGTGGCTGCTGCGGAAACAGGAACGCAGGTATTCTCGGCCGCCGCGGCCGGCGGCGAGCTTACAGACAAGGCCAGCGACTCGAACTGGATCGCGCCGACGAGCAGCGGCCGCGGCAGCATGGAGGCTCCGCAGGCAGCAGCTCAGTTGCAGTTGGAACCCTCGAAAGGGAGTCTGGAGTTCGCGGGGGCCTGGAAGCGGCCGGCGACGTCCAGAGGCAGCTACTTGGCTGCTGCAGCAGTGGTTCTGCTAGCTGTGGGTTACCTGATTTTTCGGTGCTACGCGGGACAGCGCGCGTGGCTGCAGCGGCGCGGCTCCGCACGGGCGCTCGCGGCCTCCGAGGAGGGCAGCAGCTCCGGCGGGGAGAAGGAAGAGGCCTTCAGCGAAGAAGAGGAGGCGGGGCCGAGCAGCAGGGGCCGCTGGTCTTCTTGCCTGACTCCGGAGTACCGCCAGGCGCTGATGCAGGCCGCGGCGAGGCCCATAGAGCGGCTGACGACGGAGCGGGTGCACGAGCGGGCCATTTTGTTCTTCAAGGAGTTGACTGACATGCTGAAGCTGGGCCGGCGGGTGCTGCCGCTGCTGGACGACCGGAGCTCGCTGGGCTGCTCCGTGCTGCTGCTGGCAGTGGCCATTCAAGAGCTGGCCTTCGTGCGCTTCTTCGCAGACCCCTGGGTGGTGCAGCAGTGGGAGGCCGTGGCCGACGAAGTGCAGGACCAGGGCCGCGACTTGCTGGCGCCCTGGTACTTCCGCAAGCGCTTCTGCACGATGTCTCGCCGCGGGCGCCGCGTGATGCGTTTCCTGGGCAACGCGCGCGGCCGCAGGCCCTGGGGGCCCCTGCCGGGGCCCCCCGCGGCCACGGAGGCCCTCTTCACCGCAGTCACCATGGGCAGGGCCACCGTGGCCCAGGCCGTGCGGGCCCTGAACTCGCTCTTGCCGTGGGTGCAGCGCGGCGTGCGCCGCAGCAGAGCCTTCAGCAGCCTCTGGAGGGCGGAGGAGGCGGCGGGCGGCCCCGCCGGCGACTGCAGAGTCCGCAGGTATATGAGCTGCGTGCCGCGGGCTCTGGGAATGGCCCTGACGGGCTTTTTCACGGCCTTGAAGCGAACTCGCATGGGCAACGCCGGCTCCAACGTCAACCTCGCGGCCTGGATGCTCGCCTGCGAGCCCAAGTTCAAACACCGCATCTTCCTGGACAACGCCAGCATGGCCAAGAGGCTGCAGGACTTGTCTTTGCTTTCGCAGCTCCGCAGGCTCTTGGGCGTCGCGGACAGGCGCATGCAGGAAGTCCTCAGCGAGCAGGCCAACTGCCTCAAGTACGAGGCCAAGTTGCGGGTGCCCCGCAGTGCGCTGCCGCTCCCCATGGCCCACCACACTGCAGCAGCAGACGCAGCAGGCACTGTCCCGCGTGCTGCTGCTCGTGCTGCTGCTTTTGCTGCTGCTCGCGCTGCTGCTCGCGCCACGGCCCGCGCTGCCGCTGCGGAGGCGGAGGCCGCCGAAACTGCGACGGAGAGCGACGACGCTGCGGCCAGCGACTCGGGCGCTGCAGCTGCTGCCCCCGCGGCCCCTGCTGCTGCCCCTGCTGCTGCCCCTGCTGCTGCCCCGGCTTCTGCCCCTGCTGCTGCCCCTGCTGCTGCCGCTGCTGCCCCTGCTTCTGCCCCTGCTGCTGCCCCTGCTTCTGCCCCTGCTGCTGCGCGTGCTGCCCCTGCTGCTGCGCGTGCTGCCCCTGCTGCTGCCTCTGCTGCTGCCAGTTCTTCCCCGGGCCGCCGCCCTACTCCTGTTCCTGGCCCCGGCTTCTGGCGCCGCACACGCACAGTGCCCGAGAGGTACCGCAGAGCCGCTAGGGCTGCAGCTGAGGCTGCAGCAAGAGCTGCAGCAGAGGCTTGTAGGAGTGCTGCAGCAAAGGAAGCAAGCAGTGTGGAGCCCAGCTCTGCTGCTGCTGAGGCGGGTTCTGGGGCTGTCGCTGCTCCAGATTCCCGGCCGCGTGTGATTTTGACCAGGCCTCCACCTGAGGCCCGAGCAGAAGCTGCTGCAGGGGCCCCCGCGGAGGCCCCTTCAGCAGCTGCCGCAGAAGCTGCTGCTCATACAGATGGTGGTGCGGCTGCTGCGCAAAGCAGCCTTGAAGCTGCGGGGGATAGCGCTGCAGCGTTGCCAGACCCTGCTGAAGTTGCTGCTGCTGTTTTTGCTGCCGCACCTGCTGCTTTTGCTGTCGCACCTCCTGTTTTTACTACCGCACCAAGTACCAGTGCGTTTGCCCCTACTTACCTGCAGACTCTGCATGCCCCTCCCCCCACCTTAGCCCCTCCCCCCGGCGTTATCCTGGCTCCTGTTATTCCTTTCCCCCCCGTAATCCCATTTGTTCATGGTCCTGCGGTCGTTCCACCTGCAGCTGGCGTTTACCATATCACGACGGTAACCCAGCCTGTTGAGGATCCTTCCAGCACGGTAGAGGCACATCCAGATGATCGTCCCGAAGCTTCGAAACCACCGCAGCATGGTTCCTCTGGCGGTGATGATACATCTGATAATGCTTCCGTCTTGTCAGAGCCACCTGGACCCTCGGAACCCCGTCCTTGCTCAGCGCCGCCTGCTCCAGATTCCTCTTCTGCTCCAGAGCCTCATGTTCCTCCTGCTTCTTCCTCCCCAGAGCCTCTCGTTCGTCAAGCCTCTTCCTCCTCAGAGTCTCTTGCTACTGATGCTTCTGCCGCCTCGCCTCAGCGTTCTGCACGCTGTTCCGTCGGATCAGAGTCGCCTGCTACAGATCTTTCTACCGCTTTAGAGCAGATTGATTCAGATCCCCCTTCTGTTTCAGACGGCCCTGATGATGGCTCTGCTGCCTCAGACCCACCTGCTGAAGGGCCTTCTTCCTCCTCAGCCGTTTCGAGTGATTATCGTTCAGCTGTCTCAAGCCCCATTCCTGATTATCCCGCAGCTGCCTCGGCCCCGCCCGTTGACCATCCCGCTGCCCCCTCATCTCCAGTTGTTCAGTATCCTACCTCTGCCTCCGCCCCTCCCGGTGATGCCCATTCCACCTTGCCAGACACCCATACTGGCGCTTCCTCCTCTGAAGGCTCTGCAGTTGACAGTTCTTCTGCAGCATCAAGTCTTTCTGTTGGTGGTGCTCTCCCCTGCCCAGAAGCTCCATCTGTTACGTCTTCTGCTGCTTCTGCCGCTTCTACCCCTCCTGTTGATGCGCATGCTTCCTCCGGACCCCAGCCTCTTGATCCTAACGCTGCCGAACAAAATCCTTTCTGTCCTCCTGGGGTTGGCTCATGCCCTTCTATAGGTCTCGTTGCCTTCCACCCACAGCTTCCTGGTGCTCCTCCGGCTTTCACAGGCCCTCCTTTTGGCACTTTTCCGCCTTACTTAGGACCGCCTGCTGGTCCTCCTACTGGCTACCCAGCCCGCGGGTTTCCTCGTCCTCGAGCCTTCACCCCTCGAGGCAGCCAACGTCCTTCCGCTGACAATGGCGGCACATTCCGGCATCCTGTTCCTGGCCGTTTCCCCACCTACCCAGGCCCTCCTTTTGGTCCACCTCCTCCCGGTGCACCTCCTGTTGGTCCTGTTCCCACGCACCCAGATCCTCCTTTCGGTCCCAATGCCTTCGTCCAAATGCCCAGTGATCCTCATGAGTTGTTCCCCGCTTTTGGTGGCCCTCATCCCGGCTACCCAACCGCGCCTGTTGGTGCACATCCGGCCTACCCACCCCCTCCTTTTGGTCCTCATCCTGCTTTCCCACCCCCTCCTGTAGGCCCTCACCCCGCCTACCCACCCCCTCCGGCTGGTCCTTTTGTGTATCCACCCCACCTCCTTGGTGTTTTCCTTGGCTACCCACCCCCTCCTGTTGGTCCAAATCCCGCCTACCCACCCCCTTCTGCTGATCCAAATCCCGCCTACGCAGCCCCTCCTGCTGGTGATCAAACGGGCCAGCTACCTGCGGAGGATCCTGCTGCTGAGCACCCACCTCCCAGTGATCCTGCTACCGATAGCCCATCCTCTCCTGCTGACCCCCCTAGTCAACACCAACCGTCTCCTGTTAAATCTCCTACTGACTATCTAGGTTCTCCAGCTGGCTCGGCTGCCGATAACTCACTTCCTCCAAATGTTCCTCCTGAGCACCTGCAGCCTCCTGTTGCTCCTGATCCGGTTAACCCACCTCCTGCAGCTAGTGTTGATTCCACGTACCCAGGGCCAGCTTTTGGCCCTCCTTCCGTTTACACACCCCGTCCAGCCGGTCCTTCTCCTGCCTTCCTACCCCCTGGTGTTGGCCCTAATGCTGCGTATCCACCCCCTCCCATTGGTCCTTCTCCTCCCTATCCACCCCCTCCCGTTGGTCCTTCACCCCCCTATCCACCCCCTCCCGTTGGTCCTTCACCCCCATACCCACCCCCTCCCAATGGTCATTTTCCTCCTTATCCACCCCCTCCCATTGGTCCTTCTCCTGCCTATCCACCCGCTTTCGCTGGTCCTTCTGCCTATCCACCCCCTCCTTTTGGTCCTCCTGACTACGGGCCCCGTCCCGCTGTACCTCCCACCTACCCACTCCCCCCTATTGGCCCTCCTACGTACCCATCCCTTCCCATGGTCGCTGTTCCCGTCTTTCCACCCCCTCCTGTCGGTCCTCATCCCGAATACCCACCGCCTTCTGCCGATTCTCTTCCCGTCTACCCCCCAGTTCCTGTTGGTCCTGTTCCCATGTACCAGGGCCCTTTTGTTCCTCCTCATCCCTCCTTGGAAGCATCTTCTCCTAGTGTCGCAGCCGACTCTTCACACTCTTCGGTTGAAGTTGCTGATTCTGCTGACTCGGGATCACACGGTGCTGCTACCTTGCCCCGTCGTTCTTGCCGTCGTCGTGCCCGTCGTCGCGTTCATCGTTCTATATCTGTCTCGGCAGTCCCTTCAGACTTTTCCGCAAATTTTTGGGGAGCGCAAGGCGCACCAGCAGTTTTAGCGGAAGCTGCACTGGAAGCTGAAGCAGAAAGTGGAGCAGAAGCTGAAGCGGAAGCTGCTGCGGAATCCGGAGCAAAAGCTGTAGCGGAAGATGCGGCTGAAGCTGCAGCAGAAGCTGAAGCTGCAGCGGAAGCTGAAGCTGCAGCGGAAACTGAAGCTGCAGCGGAAGCTGCAGCGGAAGCCAGAGCAGAAATTGAAACGGAATCTGCAGTGTAAGTCGAAGCAGAAGCTGAAGCGAATGCTGCAGCACGAGTACTTGGAGTAAGCATTGCAGGAGATGCACCGCAAACGTCCGCAGCGGGAACTACAGCAAGAGATTCACAGCATGAACCTGCAACGAGCACCACAGTTCAGGCGGCAGAAGTTGCGGAAGCATCTACAACAATAGGAGAAGCAGAAGGTGCGAAATCGTTTGCATGACGTGCGGAAGATGAAGCACAAACTCAGGCGGAAAAAGGTGCGGCGCAAACACCTGCAGAAGGAGCTGCAGCAGGCGTTGTCGGAGAAACACTCGCATGAAAAGTTTGAATACAAGATGCAGCCCAAGCGTGTGCAGTAGGAACAGCAAAAAGATCTGCGCCAAACGCCGCAGCAGAAACACGATGTAGGATGCGCCGCAAAAGCCCCTGCAGCACGAACTGCAGCAAGGAATCCAGCGGACACTCCTGGAGCAGGATTTGCAGCAGGAGAGCAAGGCTGACGGAAGCCACACAGATCTCGAGGTCACTCTGGAAAGCGCGATAATTGTGCTTCTCCTACCTTACGTCGTCCCGTTCTCGCCTGTCTGGGAACCCTCGTCCCTCTTCTGCAAGCTTCACGGGTTTTATTTATTAAAGTTGTGGGGCGCTCTTTATCTTTCCTTTTCGTTTTCTTGATTCTCTGGCATGAAAAACGAGTGGTTTTAGTCTCCTGACTTCTGCCATGGCTTTTGGCTACAGGACCTTTTGTATGAGCACCCACGGCAGCGCTTTCAAGGTCCTCTCCAAGGGACCTCTTAGGACCTCAGCACAGAAAGCTTTGAGATACCTCTATTGGGTCCCTCTACTGAGGTTTTTGGAGGCCCCTAAAATAACCTCTGGTAGAGTCCTAGGCTTTTTGCAGTCTCGTAGAAGCCCCAAGGAAGACGCACTGAGGTGTCTGTTTGAAGAGCCTGTTATCGGCCTTTAGGCTGTAAGGCACCATCTAAGGGTTGAGGACAACTCTAAAGTTGTTTATGACACCTGGGTCCTACCATGATCGACTTGATGCTTCCCAAACTTTTCAAGAAACGAGCCACTCGGGCGTGATGGATGCAGAAGATCCAAAGAAAATGAAAGACGCTCCTTGCAGCCATTAAAAAGTCGGTTGCGTCCCTCTATGGCCTTGATTTGGGCGTGATACTTGAAGCAACGGAAGGGAGAGCAGCAGCAGAGGCAAATGCATTAAACTATGACGCAGTGATGTAGGGCTTTTGTTTTTACACCTGTCGGCACTGGAGGGAATGCCGACAGCAACAGCGGAAGGTTCAGCGGTGGCAGGGGAGCAGCGGCACATGTTGAGGCAGCAGCAGCAGCAAACGGATCGACAAGAGCTGCAGGTGCATAGAGAAATGCCGACAGATAAGCCTCAGACAGAGGCCATGGGGAAGACGCTCCACACGCAAAGCGATTGCTGTCGCAGTTTTCTTGTATTTCGCCACTGCACTTATGTCCACGTTTTGTTGTGCTGTTTGTATCTCCTTGATGTGACCTGTGTTGCCTGTCTTTATTCGGTTTTGCTCTATTTTTGCGTTTCCTTTATAAAGAGGCTGGGAACTGGCGGCGGGTCAAATGAAGGCCAGGGCATGCTACAATAGGGAAGTGCTTGCACATTTTATTTGAAGCAATTTTAGCTATAGCAAAAACAGCGTAGAGCATTCAAGAAATTGCCGTTCCTCACTGTGGTGGACGTCGCTGATTAAAAAATATGGATCAAGATTTATTGGGATGCTCGCGGGTTTAAAGTTTGTCTCTTTCTTGCTTATTACGGCTGCTTTTGCGATTTCCCTGCATTTATTTTTTTTGGGTGCAAGCGCGATTTTATCCACACATGCATAGGTTTAATTCATAGCAATACTCGTCGTTCAATGCACATTTGCATATTGCATGTATGTGTTATTCCACAATTTTCTAATGTATATGTATATATTTTGGCGCATGAGTATCCGCGTGTCAAATATAACGTGTAGACTTGAAGAATGATATAAAAATCTTGCGTATGCGTTCCTTCTGGCTGGCAGAGAAGTACTACACTGCCACTGTGGGCTGCACAGCGCAAAGTCGTTGTGTGGAAGACCCCTGGTCAGTCTTCATTGTAGATGTCACTCTCACTACCTTTTTAGCTTGCGGCAGCAACAGCAGCGGCAACCTGGAAAGATGTATCACCTGCCCAATGCAAGAAACTGGGTCTTTGATGAAGTATCATTGGCGCATTTTGAAGTATTTCAGTGCAATAGACTCCTTAACCGTCACTTCAACTTTGGACCTAACAGCTTTGAAGAATAGAAAAGGCTGAATGTTTCAGCACTTTTATGCCCACAGAACACAAAGAAGAATCACATGAGGCAACCACAACTTGAGCGGGAAGGATATACTGTAGAGTAGCCGATGGGTTCGAATTTTCCTCAGCTAGCTCTTTCCAACACGCATTGCACAAAAAATGAAGATTCGTTCTGACAGTAGGCGTAGTAACTTTCTATGATTGACGTGCGAACAGGGAGGTGACGTTTCGTTTTTTTCCAGTTTTGCTGAACAAAACTGTGGTTGTGAGACAAAATGCCAGAATAGAAAAAAGCGTATAGATGAATTCGCCCTTCACTTTCGCTTCATCTAAAAAGTGATCCTATGGGGCGCAAAGGACCAGCCGGGCAGATGGGCATACGACCTAGGATGCAACAACGACCTTTTTCAGTACAAAAGTGAAGTCAGCGACGAGCTGAGGTGATCGCAATCTTCCGCCTTACAGCTGAGGTTATTACTATGCTTGTGCTCAGAGCACCTACAATGGGTGCGCAGGCGTCCGAGGTATGCCGGCTAAAAGAAAAGAGCCTACAGTGGGCTTCAGGAGGGAGACGACACAATAATGCATGGCACTTGTGCCTTTTATCAAGGCACTAGAAGAGAACTGTGTCACGGTTTCGCTCGAAAAGCTCGGCTCTTTGAAGCCCACTCACACATATACCCACGAGAAAAGCTTTCCACCGCCGCAAAATGACCTTCAGAATAGTTCTCGAGCCATTTTAATGAGTTCCGTGCCAGAAATCAAAGAAACGGCAGGAACATCTACATTAATCTAATTTGCGGAGCAAATGCATGCATGCATTGCATGCAAGCATATCGCATGTCAAATCTGTACGTACGTTGCAAGCATATGCATGAATCATAAACTAGCTTGCTCGATACATAAATTCTGCTTGGAGTTGCTTCAAATCCTGGTTTGCAAGTAAGCTCACGACACTGCAGCTTGCCACAGTACACAATAAAAACTACAACATATTTTTTATCAGTTTAATTTGTTTATCCAGCTGAATTTTCCAACGTAAACAACAGCAAGCCACTTCCACATGAACATGGCGCGTTTGCGCCTTGACCAAACTCCTAAAAAAGCGTTCAGCTGTTCCTGCGCTGCACTATACCAGAGAGCTGCTCAAGAAAAGGTGTAGCAATAGAGAACGCAGAGGCTAAGAAGTGAATGCGCATACTGAGAAAATGACAGAAATGCTTGGTAAAAATAACAAGCTTAAGGAAAAGAGGAAGAGATGATTACAAAGAAGAGCACCAAAGAAACAAAACCGTTCTCGTCCAAGCTTCCTTCAAAGCCCCTGTTTCCATCCGAGCTCTCTAGGTCTTTCCCTGCAGCCGCTAGTAGTGCTTCTTCCAGCGGTGCTGCTTCTGCTTTTGTTGCTCACTTGCCTGCTGCCTTTGCCGTCGCTGCCGTTTCAAGCAGGCTGGCAGGTAAAAATTCTTCTACGTTAAAGGGTCGTCTCCACTGTCTGAACTTTCCTCTTGCCCAGTGCTTTCTGAAGGCTCGCCCCACGCATGGCCGTAAAAGGGTGTCCCTGGGCCCTTATTCGCTCCGGGAGCTCTTACTATATCGTGTTTTCTCTTCTTCACCTCTACAGTTGTACCTTCGCCCTCATCCTGCATAGTCAGCTTGGGTGTAAATGGAGGAGCATTTGGGTTCAGGACTTTCTTTTTGAGCAGATGCTTGGGGGCCGCTGCAGGCGCCTTCAAAGCCAATGCCGTCTGATAATTTTTTGGGCTTGTTCTGGGTAGGGAAAGCAACGGACTGTTTCTAGTAAAACGCCAAGATACGGGGGCCGCATTAGAGCTGAGAAGCAGAGAAATTACTGGGAAATTTATGCCTCCGTCAGGTGCGATAAACCATGAGGTAGGCACTGGAAGAGATGAGGGTAGCCACAGTATTGCAGGTTCAGCTCTTTTTTTCCGAGATGCCCTGGACTGCCCTCCTGAAACTCCGGCTTGTATTCCAGCTGCGTCTGCATGCTTGGTTTTAGAAGAGCTGGAGGAACTGGTAGCAACGGCCGCAAGAGAAGAAGTTTGATTTCCATCCTTCCTCAAGGCCTCTCTTACTGCTACAGCCCAAGGCCGATCTGTTGATCCCCCTGATCGTTTTCTCGCGACCACGAGGGGCGCACTTTCGTGGGCGAGAAAGTCTTTGAACAAGCTCTCGTGGGCCCTACGCAATTCTTCTAGGGGAACGTCACAGCCTCTTAAAAGTTCACTCATTTGAGCTACCAAGGGAGAAGCAGTCGTGGCTGGGCGGCGAAGCCTCGAGTTTTCTATAATTTTTTGCCTTAGGCTTCGTTCGCAAACTTCTATCCAAGGACGTAACTCAGGGTCAGACAGCAATGCTTCACGGCGAGCGGATTGTACCGTTGTCAACACTTTCATCAAAGACGCCTCCAGCTCTTTTGGTATGACGCCCGAGCCACCTTTTCTTCGTCTGGCCCCTCTACCCTCGATTCCTGCCGCTTTCTGCGTTTTCACCTGTGACCATGGTAAAAGAACGGAAAGACCAACTGCGCATTGATGAAACGCTCCCCGCGCCATTGTCACAGTAGCTAGAAGATCCTTCAGGAGCTGTTCCTGCCCCCGCGGATCCTTCTGGGGTATCTGTTTACCAAGACTCTCCAAAAACAAAAGCACGTTTTCGAAGTTCCTCGACACGGCAGAACTGGTTTTCGAAGCCTCCCCAGAGCCCACAAGTTTTCTCCCACTTTCTAATATTTGATGCATTGCTGGGTTCCAGCGTGCCTGCACCCAAAGATCTGCATAGAGACGAACAGCACATAGTTCCTGGGCCACGATAGTAAGCAACGTTGATAGAGGATTATGGAAGGGCCCTTTGAGAAGAGGTAGTACTTTTAGGGCCAATTCCATTAAATCCTTCGCTTCTGTAAATAATAAGGATGCTCTGTTGTGGACTTCATCTTCCGATATTTTCCACTTAGGTGCCGAGGATGCTGGCTTTTCCTCGTCAGCATTCAAGACGTCACAAGCAGACTCCCCGGGGTCACCATCTGAGCTGCTCTCAACGTCGCTACTGGCGCTGGCCATTTCGCTGCTGCTGCTGCTTTCTGCCGTGTCAGAAAGGGCCCTCAACGTTTGGCCTCGCACCGAATGAAGCCCCCTGTTTCTTCTGCAGCGCAGCACCAAGTAAATAATTGCTAGTATTCCGATCGCCGCGGCCGCAAAAGATTTTACTTTGAATAATACGGAAGAAGAGAAGAACCGGCCTGGCCTGGCTGATCTTGGCTGCTCAACATGAGCAGATTGCTCTGAAGCCGGTGCAGCCGACCGCCGATCCCCTGTGTTGCTCGGCAACGAGCTTCTGCTGGATATAAGAAACAAATGATCATCTCCACTACTGATCGGGAGATGGCCTACCGGATCAGAATTAGGATCAGCCGCAGGCACGCTCTTCGCTGTCGCCATGTGCAGCTCCCTCGCTGCTATGGCTACAGCACCTGGAGAGAGAAGGCACTGCAGCCAGACGACAGTTAGCAAGGCGCAGAAAACCCTGCAGACTAATAAGGGGAGCATCGCACTACGTGTGCAAGGGCAGCTTGGGGGCAGCATTGCTCTCAACGCACTATCCTCACGAAGATACAGGCGGTGTGAGCACCCCAACTACAAGCCGAGCACGTTCAATACGCAAGCCATTCGATCGGTAAATCTTCCCTCTTGATTTCGTTATTTAAGCACCTAAGCGCAGTTGCGAACGAGGAAAGGTGTTGTTGCGGAGGCATCATCAGGCTGCGCTCCTGTTGGACCACAGAGAGCCAGCGGACACCAACAGGGCATCAATGCTTGCGTGGCCTCCTCGGTAGCCCTTTAGGGCCTGAAGTAAAATAAACAGGTTCCCCAAATTCACATAGCAGAGGGCTCGTCCCCATGTGGGGCCAAAGATGTCACCGCATCGACAGCATAGTGCTCGCACCACATCAAGTAAAGAACCTGTATAGTTAAATCGGGCATCTAAGGAGTTCAAATCCTCATTTACCCTCCTCAAATAACTAAATGAACCTGCATTTCATTTTGACGCAGACTGTGTGCTTCGAAGATGTGAAGCAGACCTAGGGGAAGCTGAATCGAAACGACGGAACGGTGCCCGGTGGATAGGTGGCTCTATGGCAGTCCCTTTGTGAGGAAGCGCTAGTTGAGTACAAGGACCCCCTAAATGACCGATTTCAACGCTGTAATAACACCCGATTTCATTGGAATTTAACATGAGAGTTTTGGCCCTGTCCTCTCTTGACTCAAAGGTGTCTAGACCCACACAGACCGAGATACACCCTTGATTCGGCAGCAGCCAGTATGGCAAAAGCTGTTTGCGCGTTTCAAATTTTTTTTTTCATGTATCGATATGTTTTTCGTTTACTGCAAAATATTAAATGATCTCATTAAGGGCTTCGCAGACCCAGTCCTCGATATCGTCTGTACTATGTCACACTCACGCCTGATGTCGTTAATCAAGTGCCATGGCTGCTCGGTGTGCTTCCTTCAGAAACAATGCAAATATTCGAGGCGAGAAGGCCTAAGGTCCTAGTCGAACTAAAGTAATGGCCTTTGGTCTTCACTATTGGAGGCTTCGGCGATATGCTGCATATCTAGACTAACTCTGCTGTTAAGGCCAGCAAAGTATGACCCCACAGCTTCTAAAATGCTGTATACTCGCTATAGAAGCCCAAAAAATATGCATAGATCTACGAGGAGCTGATGCGCTTTCGACCCTTCCTTGCAGGCATAGTAGGGGTAAAGGCCACCCTGCAGCACTACCACTAAGACTCCCAGAGGGCTTAAAGCAGGTGTGCCATGGGCCAGTGCTAATGGTGCAAGAGGAATCGGCTCATGTGGAATTGCACAACAAATCCGTACTGAGGGGAGACACTGGGGGCATATCCCTTAGTGAAGCCTGTGACGACGATCTCAACCCTCTACGGGAGAAGCGTCAGCAATGGTCGGGTGGTCAACACATGGCTGTGCACATGAAAATTTTGAAAGAGTATTTGGCCGACACTGAACGATTTGATTTCCTGCATTCTGCCTAAGCGCTCTCACGACAGCCGCTCCTTACTCTTACCTAGAAGTCTTCCAGCAGAAGCGACTTTCCACTGCAGGCCACCAGACCAACAAACGTTGCATAAATTTAAAATAGTTGTGCTATCGGCTAGTTGCACAGTGTGACCTAAGGACCCGCCTATTTTTCTTCTTGCGTAGGAATGCTGCGCAGTGCAGCTTCGTCTATGTAGCCAGAACGATAAAGGCATGCGTATAAAGTCGGGCCTAGTGTTAACGAGTTCTTATTATGCTCAAATCGGGTGGAGCCAGCGGACTACTATTCAGTCTGCTTAGAGCGCACTAAGTACCACGCTTACTGTGCATTCCTGATGCAAGCTCACGCATGCCTGCCAAATTAGTACCTTTGGTGTGCACCTTTGCTCCTTACTTTCCTGTGTAACATGTACTGCTTTTGAGGTGTGCATAAGAATAGCTCCGTTTGTTCTTCCATTCGTCTCCACAGCTGTGTCTCTAGCAAGTTGTATTCTTGCTTTGCAAGTCTTCGGGCGAGCTTCATTCAGCCAGGTGTCTCTTTTGTCCATGTGGAAAACTTGTAGACCAGCTTAACTGCCATTTGCGTTGATTCTGAGCTTTCTAGAGTAAAAGTATCAATATGCTTTTTTTGGTGCAGTCCTAACGAAGCCCTTGGCAGACAGTACCAAATGAGCCTCACTACGACATAGCTCAAAAGCCACTCACGACGGCACCATGTTTTTCATCCATTCTCTTCTCCACAAACAAGCAACCTCCTACCGTTAGTCCCAGTAAACAGATGATCCCTAGGGAACCGCCTAAATCTGGACTGCTGTCGTTGTACAGCGGGAGGCATCATAAACCTACGCCGTCCACAGGTATCCAAGAGAGACTCACAGTTGTGGTCAGAAAAGCCAAAGCGGGCAGTTGCCATCATGTCCGCGTTACGACGCATACGCCGGCACTCACTGGCCGGCATGGCGGCTCGCGTATCACTGCTGCACGCAATGTACACTTCAAGCGGTCTAAGCCCCAGGTAGGCATTACGCAGAAATTTTTCTCGGGCCTCACGCTTCCTGCTTTTCAGTTCTTTGAGTATTTTTGCTGGTGCCTAGTTGCGCTTTTCTTCTGTGGGCTATTGGTGCCCCTTTGCATTATTTGTGGGCTGGTTTTCTCTACTTCGTACTATCTGTAGTTATTTCTTTGAGTGGTGCGTCTCTGGCGGCTAAGGCGTTCTTGCTCCCCAACGCATAGGTATGCCTTTTTAAGGGTTTAATTATTCCACTGCTGCGGGCATTCTGCGGGGGGGCTTCGATTTCGTTTGGCTTCGCCTTCGGTCTGGAGACACAAAATCCCCAGCATCTTGCCGCATTCCACGGCACCTTTTCCACGCGTGACCCAGTCTCTTTGTCGGCGTCTTCCTGCTGGGGGATTTGAATTTTTACACAGTCGAGCCTTAGGAAATTATCCCTTCTCACTGTTACGCCAAGGTGAACTCGGCCTGCGCATTGTGCAGTATGATATTCATGAGTTCCGTTCCACCCAATTCTGGTGGGCTATACAAACATTTCAGTTTGGTTCGAGCTAGGGAACCTACTATTGAAACGCTGATCCATCAGTTTCCAATTGCACATGTCTACACTGTCTTTTAGATATGTCATGCAGTACAGCAAGGCTCGTTAGGTGCCCTGGCAGACCTTTACGCCACCGCCAAGTGCTACTCTCCATGACCAAGGAACGGATTTTTGTCAGGCATTGGAAAGTCCTTATGGAAATGCCGTCTCTGTGGATCTGCACTTCGTCTCTGGGAGTCGCCCTCCCATGTAGTACGCCACGCCTTGCCTTGGCTCCAGTGATTTTTTGGCCGATTAGCATCAATGCACTGCAAAGGCTATGCACAAATACCTTGGCATTTGGGGACAGCATTAGTTATAGTCGAAATTCGTAATAAGCAGTAAAATTAAATGCCAGACATGGCAGCGTGAACGGAGTCGCTGGTAGGATCTCTGCAGAACACCACCGCAGACCATGCAGTACAGAGTGCGGCCAATCAAGTAACCAACCTTAAACCCTTTTTAATTACGCGCTGTTGCGTAGGTATAGTGACGATATATTTAGACATTTTCGTTCCTTAGGATGGCTTTCGTAATCCGTCGTGCAGCGTGGTACTGGTGGGACCGTAAGTTCCACGACACACACATGCGGCTCTACATTTTTCTGCCTGTCCAGGTGGTTTAAGCAAGCAAATCCGGATATATTAGCTCTATTCTTTACGTCCATGGAATGTTCGAGCAATTTTTCCTCTCCCCACAGCGCGCAGTGACTTCATCTTTTTCGCTGCGCAGGCAGCCGGTGCGCAGCATGTTCTGCACTGAGCGCGCAACTAACATGAGGGTTTAAGAAGAATTTAACAGTCCCATCGACAAAAAATCAATCACATAAATGCGTATTCTCATTTTAGGCAAGTGGGTAGCCTGTTCAATCTCTAGTCACCTGTGTAGCTACACCTGCCCTCTGTAAAGTGCAGTCCCTGCCTCCAATTCGACAGTTTTCATCAGTCCTTGCGGCTGTTTCTGCACTTTCATGCAAAATGCACCAAGCTCTTCATCATATACTCATTTTCATTAGTGTTTATCAATAAAGATGTTTTAGGGAGGCGTAGGTGACGGCTATACCAGCTGGTCCCCTGCAGTTCTACATGACGTTTTGCTTACCCCTCAACTGACGACGCTATGAGACCCGCCAGCTGCTGAGCTCTAGTGCGTCCTTTTTCTACTGCAGTTAAGAAAAACTGTTGTTCTGATCTCTGCCTTAGGGGACCAGTATAGGCTCACTTTCTTGAATGCCATGAACTCTCCAGACTATCGATTCACCAGTGGTCTTACGAGCTATCCTGTGGCTTACGGCTCCCGCCGCTACTTGTCAAGAGGCTTCTGCCTGCTCTGCTTGTTAACTCTATGCACTGCATCCCCGAAAAGTGCTGCGGCAGTGCATAAGACAACCCCGCTCTGCGATGTTGCCCCCGTTACTACTGCTACGGCGGCTGCCCTACCGCCAAGTCTTTCGACAGAGGGCAACGAGGTTAATTGGAAGCACTCGAGCAGTTCCACCAGTATAGAGAACGGGGACGGCTGCACGACTAGCAACACGAAGGGCTCCCCACCAGCTTTGAAATGCGGGGATTCATTGGCCATGTCGAATAGTCTGGTGAGCCCTAGGCGTTCTTCGTCACTCCCCGTCTTTTTAAAAGTTAGTGTATTGGTAGCAGCAGTGATTGGGACTGCAGCAGTTGTATTTTTAGTGCTTCGCTGCTCACAAGAGAGACGGCTACATTTGTCTCAAGGACATAACCCACGTGCGATTTCTGACCTTGGCAACGAGGGTGAAGGACCCAGCACACGGATTACAGCTTGTGTTAACTTGAGAGACGAGCAGGAAGCGAAAAATACACAAGAACATCATGGGGAGCTATCTGAGCATCAAGTTAGGCGAAGAGCAAGGTCACTATTTCGAGAAGCCCTTGAACTATGTGATACTGGCTCAAAGCTCCTACCTTTACTTGGCGGGGGCGACTATCTTAAAGGTATTTCTTTGATTGTGGGCCTTACTGCTGCAGAGCTGGCTTCTGTGGGTTACGTTCTTCCCGATGTTTTGGATGGCGGTTGGAGCGCAACAGTGGATGCAATTGCGCGTGAGGGACGACTCGCAACATCTGGGGTGTCTCGCACTGGAACATATGGGAACACCGTAAGGAAGATTCGCCGATTCGTGAAGTTCTTGGCAAATATTCACCGACGCCGGCCAAAGATTGACGCTACACAAAAAGTTCGAAGTGATTTGTTGTTTACTTCCATTACCGTCGCAAGAGAAGCAATAAGTCAGTCTAAACAGGCACTTGATATGCTGACCCCATGGTCAATGCAAAATTTGAGTGTGCAAGCATTAGGCAGGGCCAAAGGCAGGGATAGGCTCTTTAAGGCCGACAGCGGCGGCATTGTCCCCCGTAAAGTGAGTGAAGCCCTTCTCAGATTCCTGGGGCGAGTTAGAAGAGCAAGAATAACTACTCTAAGGAATCATCCCGCCTTTGGACGTCTTATTAACCGCTTTGGGAGGCGCTTGTTTTATCCGGCTCTTTCTGAAGAGGAGCGTCTTGCCCTTGCCCAGTCAACCCCGGTTGTTGTGCCTTTGTCAGTTCAACTGCGGGAGCTTAACGACATTTCTGGGGAGAGCCGCGAAATACTAGCTCAGAAGCACGAAGACGCGCTAGCTGGGCGGAGAAGTATAACTCCTTCAGATTCCGATGGTTCTACCTCTGACTCTCAAGAGAGGACTTCACAAAGCCAGCATGGCAATGGAGCTGAAGGTGCAGTCGAAGGAAAAGAGATCCAGCCAAGCGAAACTTGCGAACTGCAATCAATGCGTACTGACTTGCATTCTCAGGAAGGGTCCTCAACTTCGTTTCCAAGCACTGCATCGTCTCTCGAGAGTTTGGCGCCCCCTCAGTCGAGCAGCAGTGATGCTGCATCTGCCTTTTCACTTGAGAATGCGCAGAACCCCGAAATTTACGCGGGACAACAATTCGTGAGGCAAATATATGCTGCCCTGCATCAGCTCTTATTGCGTTCATCAGGTGCATACGCAGGGTCAGCACCGGGGCTTCATCCAGGAAGCTTCATGGCTGGCGCGCCTCCCGAAACCATGATGCCTAAAGGACCACGTAGAAGTGCCCTACCATCTCATGCTCGGGCCTCCGAGAGGAGTCTCTCGCTTTCGTATACAGAGAGCCCCCGCGCCAGTGCAAAAACTGCGAATCCCAGCGTAGCAAGAGGACAAGAAAGCTATGGAAGTGCGCATGGAAAATACCTTCCTGGAGGTCCATGGAGGCATTTTAGTAGGGACCACACAGACCCTTCAGGTATATATGCAGAAGCGACTAGAGATGATTCTTTGAGACCTCACACAGGTGACCGTACAGGAACTCAGCCTACACAGTATTCTAAAGGAGCGCATGGAGAGTCCGCTATAGAAGCTCACTCGAGGACCTTTATATGGGTCCACAGCGAACCTTCAGATACATATGGAGAATTAAGCAGAAGAGCATCTAGATATTCCTCTTGGAGACCTTGGGGAGGCGACCATAAAGGAACTGAGCCCACAGAATATTCTGAAGAAGCGCATGGAGAGTCCGCTAAAGGAGATCACTCTAGGCCTTTTAGATGGGTCTACAGCGAACCTTCTGATACACATGAAGACGCGAGTACAAGAGACTCCAGAGATGCCTCTTGGAGACCTCGGAGATATGACCGTACAGGAACGGAGCCTACAGAATATTCTGATGGAGCGCATGGAGAGTCCGCTAAAGGAGCTCATTTGAGGCCCTTGAAAAGGGTTCATAGAGAACATTCAGATACATATGAAGAAGCGGGTAGAAGAGAATCTAGAGAAGCTTATTGGAGACCTCGGAGAGATGACCGTAGAGGAACTGAGCCCACAGAATATTCTGATGGAGCGCATGGAGAGTCCGCTACAGGAGCTCACTCGAGGCCTTTTAGATGGGTCCACAGAGAACCTTCAGATACATATAAAGAAGCGAGTAGAAGAGAATCTAGAGAAGCTTATTGGAGACCTCGGAGAGATGACCGTAGAGGAACTGAGCCCACAGAATATTCTGGTGGAGCGCATGGAGTGTCCTCTACAGGTGCTCACTCGAGGCCTTTTAGATGGGTCCACAGCGAACTTTCAGATACAGATGAAGAAGCGAGTAGAAGAGAATCCAGAGATGCCTCTTGGAGACCTCGGAGAGGTGACCGTACAGGAACGAAGCCTACAGAATATTCTGATGGAGCGCATGGAGAGTCCGCTAAAGGAGCTCACTCTAGGCCTTTTAGATGGATCCACAGAGAACCTTCAGATACATATAAAGAAGCGGGTAGAAGAGAATCTAGAGAAGCTTATTGGAGACCTCGGAGAGATGACCGTAGAGGAAATGAGCGCACAGAATATTCTGGTGGAGCGCATGGAGAGTCCGCTACAGGAGCTCACTCGAGGCCTTTGAAAAGGGCTCATAGAGAACCTTCAGACGCATATGAAGAAGCGAGTAGAAGAGAATCTAGAGATGTCTCTTGGAGGCCTCGGAGAGGTGACCGTACGGGAAATGAACCTACAGAATATTCTGATGGAGCGCATGGAGAGTCCGCTACAGGAGATCACTCGAGGCCTTTCAAAAGGGCCCGCAGAGAACCTTTAGGTACACATGGGGAAGCGAGTAGAAGAGCATCTAGCGATGCTTCTTGGAGACCTCGGAGAGGTGACAGTACAGGAACAGAACCTACAGAATATTCTGAACGGGCGCCTGGAGAGTCCGCTGCAGGAGCATCCTCAAAGCCCTCTAAAATGGCCCGCAGAGAAACTTCAGATACATATGGAGAAGTCAGTAGACAAGAATCTAGAGAAGCTTATTGGAGACCTCGGAGAGTTGACCATACCGAAACGGAGCCTACAGAATATTCTGAAGGACCACCTGGAGGTCCCGCTACAGGAGCTCAATCGAAGCCTTTTAGATGGGCTCTCAGAGAACCTTCAGATATATATGGAGAAGGAAGTAGAAGCGAATCTAGAGATGCTTCTTGGAGACCTTGGAGAGATGACCGTACAGGAAATGATCATACAGAATATTTTGAAGGAGCACCTCGACAATCAGCTTCAGAAGCTTCCTCGAGCCATTCTAAACTGGCTCCCAGAGAACCTTCAGATACATATGGAGAAGTCAGTAGAAGCGAATCTAGAAATGCTTCTTGGAGACCTTGGAGAGGTGACCGTACAGAAACGTATCCTCCAGATTATTCTGGAGGGCCTCGTGGAGAGACCGCTACAGGAGCTTCCTCGAGCCCTTCTGAAATGGCCCGCAGAGAACCTTCAGATACATATGGAGAAGAAAGTAGAAGAGAATCTAGAGATGGTTCTTGGAGACCTTGGAGAGGTGACAGTCCAGGATCTCATCCTACAGAATATTTTGAAGGGGCGCCTGGAGAATCAGCTTCAGCACCTCACCCAAAGCCTTCTAAAATGGCCCGCAGAGAAGCTTCAGATAAATATGAAGAAGCGAGTAGAAGAGCATCTAGATTCACCTCTTGGAGACCTTGGAGAGACGACCGTACAGGAACTGATCCTACAGAATATTCTGAAGGAGCGCATGGAGAGACCGCTACAGGAGTTTCCTCGAGCCCTTTTAAAATGGACAGCAGAGCACCTTCAGGTACACATGGAGAAGGAATTAGAAGAGAATCTAGCAATGCTTCTTGGAAACCTCGGAGCGGTGACCGTACAGGAACTGAGCCTACACAATATTCTGAAGGAGCACCTGGAGAGACCGCTACAGGAGCTTCCTCGAACCCTTCTAAAATGGCCCGCAGAGAACCTTCAGATACACATGGAGAAGGAAGTAGAAGAGAATCTAGAGATGCTCCTTGGAGACCTTGGAGAGTTGACCGTACAGAAACTGAGCCTACAGAATATTCTGAATGGCCGCGTGGAGAGAACACTACAGGAGCTTCCTCGAACATTTCTAAACTGGCCCGCAGAGAATCTTCAGATATACATGGAGAAGCGAGTAGAAGAGAATCTAGAGATGGCTCTTGGCTAACTTGGAGAGGTGACCCTACAGGAACGGATTCTAGAGAATATTCTGAAGGAGCGCCTGGGGATTCCGCTACAGGAGCTTCCTCGAACCCTTCTGAAATGGCCCGCAGAGAACCTTCAGATACACATGGAGAAGGAACGAGAAGCGAATCTAGAGATGCTTCTTGAAGACCCTGCAGGGGTGACAATACAGAAATTGAGACGACAGAAAGTTCTCAAGAAACACTGGGAAAGTTCCGTAGAGGGCCTTCTTTGGAGCCTTCTACAATGGCATATCCAGGGCTTGAGGGAAAGAAGGGCACAGAGGAGATCCTACGAACGCCCCACAAAAGACGTAGAATCTTCGTCGCCGCTCCAGATGGGGCTGAAAAGACTGTTGACAAGCCGCCAAGGTGCAATGTAGTGCAGCGAAGGAAAGTGATAAGCCACTTGAAGGATCTTAGAGACATCGGAGGACACACGGGTCTTGCGGTTATACGCTGAAGAAGTGGAGAGCAAAACCAGAAGCACCGGGCCAGCAGCAGAAGGCTTAGCAGCAATAGAAGCAGCTAGCATGGAACAGCATACGGAGAAACTGCGGCAGCCTTTGGGAAGGCGCGAACTGCGAACATGCAACGGCAGACATGCGAAGGGAGAAAGTACTCGAAATGCATTGATTTACTTCCTTTCCCTTGCAGTTCTACTCCTCCTCCATCTTGTCTGCCCCTGCACACTTCTGTTTCTTTTATTTGCATCCTTAGCTTCATTATACAGATGCAAAAATGCTGATGTGCGCAGATCGATAAGCTGAAGGAGGTACTTCAAGAAGCACAAGAACTAGTTTTTTCTTGATGGACCCTTTGATGTTGTGCCTGATAAACATCTGTGAAAAAGGCTGCAGGCTCCGGTGGTCTGAACAGCATTGTGCCCGTGTCAAGTATGTATATTAAATAGGCGGGGTACAAAATGTTGTGTAACAAGCATCTGTAATGTAATATAGGCATTAATTTGAACGTATATGAGAATATTTAAGTTAAGTGAAATTGTACTGTCAAATCGTGTCCGCATGCACGTCCCTTCTAAACAGTCGATCTATGCTAGCCGTATGTAGTATTTCGTGATATATCAAAAACACGTTTATTCCTGGTGCATCGATATGTCATTTTATAAGTTCTGAGACTCAGGACAGCATTTAAAGGGATTGCCGCTGCTCACCGAGTCGCTATACTAAATTATATTAATTAGTCCTGTTTTTTTTTCAGATTCATCGTACTAAACGACAAAATATTTTTGCTCTAACTCTTGCAATTGTAGGCCTTATACAAATGTGGCATTTTCACTCGGCAGAATATTGGTTACCCGGCGTAGTATCGTCCATATGTTCGAAAAACAATTGGCGTAGAGCACACCTTCAAAGCTGCGTGCTGCATATGAAGATTGCTGCAGAATAGATTGATTCTACTTAGCGTCTACTCAATTGGAGAAGCACCTGGGAACGAAAGGCTGTGTTGCCAGCAGTTTTTGATTGGCGCCGCAGTGCAGCGACAGTTTGGCAATTATTTTGCTTGACTTTTCAACGCAATATCGGAAAAACACTCATAATCATCAAAAAGATGCATCAAACAGATGCATCAAACAGATGCACGAGGCTAGACATGTTCAGGTACAAACTTTGAATAAGTGCTTGGGAATACGCTCGGTTTGTAGAACGAAAACGAAGCTAGACGCTGTCCAGTGACAACCATAGCAGCGCAAGCCCCTGCCATGCGTAGTCGCGGTCGCAGCAGATTCTACTGAGTCCGGAAAAGAGATTAGGCTTGCTATCAGCCTTCCTACCACTGTTTGCATTTAATTCTCCCCCTTGCCTACTGCTTTTTGCCTGTACATGTACTGAACCCTAATGACTCCTACTGATCTATCGTAACTGTAAGCTCTCATTTATTTCTTGCACGAAGGAGTCAAGCAAGCTGCAGATAGCGCCTGTATCTAGGAACGCGTCAGCACTGCTTGCCAAGCCATGGAAAAAAGGAATCCCTACGGCCTTAGCAGTTTTCTGAAAAATGTAAACCCTACAGTTTAGCAATCTCCTGGGAGAAAGTTTTCGTTTTCTAGTAGTGGAGCTCTTTCCAGGATCGAAACGCATTTGTTCCGGCAATCCACATGCATCACTCTGGTGGTCCCTGAAGATAGTGAAAGTAATATTTTCCATGTCGCCAGAAGACCGCTGAGATCTCCCTGCTGGAATCGATCTGCTGGCTTTGGTTGCCATCAGCAGCTACCTGCTAATAGAAAACAGACATAGAGGTACAGCACAGCTTTCTCCAGACACAAATGGCCAAACAATAAATCTTCAACGGTCATGCAACGCCTTGAATGAAGAGCCTTATCATGTAAATAAGGAATTGAACGACAACACACGCCGGAAGCAGAACAGCATTTCCATTCAGATAAATGGCCTAGCTTGCGAAACCAGTGATGCTCCAGATAATACAATCTTCTTCTTCGTAACTTTGGGCGCGATTTGCATCTGCTTCCCAACTGAGCGTAGTACTACTTAATCGTCGAATGTGCTTTCGAAAAACCGCCAGTGAAACGCATTGCTCTCTACGTTCTTCGGATGCGCGGCTCGTGGTGCTGTGACAAAAGTAGCGCAGACAGATTTTAACTAGCTTGTGCTGAGTGGGCTCTCTGATTAGCTATGGCAGATCAACTTGGTGTGCCTAGCGGCCATCGTCACAGCTGCTTTCGCAGCCTGTAGCGCACGGTCAAAAAGTATCAGCTGCTACTGAGCAATGGCGATGGCAGCTACAGCCGTAACACTCAGAAACCCCGAGACTTTCTTTGGTTTCTGGAGGATTCTTAAACGATACTAGCCTGAGTTTATGAGTTCATGCAAGTCAGGCTTTACTACAAATGCTCACATTTACCAAGATATCTAACGAGCTATGTGTTGTGCAGACTTGGTTTATTATTATTGTTCATTAGTTTCACTGGTAGTGGGTTCCCAAAGGATGTGCGCGATTGGGCCGGACATTTCGCTTCCTAAGAATGCCTTCTTTCAAGCTGAGGCTAAGCTTTTCCGGGTAAAGTGATCCTTAGTAAACGCGGCGAGCTTAATGGCCCAACCATTATTCGGCCAGAATTTCCAAGAACAATGTGATGAGCACTTTACTCCATCAGCTCCTTACTTTGCACCGCGTTTCCATTGTCCACCCAAGCTGTCCTAAATCTTCTTCTTGTCTTCGGTGCCTGGGCATTGCTTTTGTATGCGCATCTATTGCTTTTATGTTCGTAGGGACTGCGGTTGGAACAATGTGAAGTCTATACAGGCCTCCCGCTTCTTCCCTTTGACTGCAAATCAGCTTTGAACACGAGGCCTCTCTAAAGGTTTCTTCCACTGTCACATGCATCTGTAATGAATCATTCTTTTGACATTATTCATGTTGCGTCAGTTTTGCCATGTATGGATATAATCGTGCCTCTGTTTTCCTTGTCCCGTTGGGACAACATGAATAGCTGGTGTTCTGAAGGTCGAGCGACAGAGGGACGATAACATTGATAGGCTTTCAATGATCGCTACTTGGGACTTGAGTCATCGTCTAGCGACTTCATGGATGCCTAGGTTGTCACAAAATAAGCCAAGAGATTTCCTGTGTTCGTCTTCCTGTTCGCCAGAGACTCTTAATTCTGAAAGTGAGTGATCGGCCAAAGCCAGTGGAAGGAGGCCGTTTAGCCAATAGGAGATGGAAACATGTAGGATGTACACCGTTTGCAACCAATAAGGACGCTCAGAATCACAAGCAAGGACTACAACACGCCAAAACGTTTGAAAAGTGCAGCCCTACACCAACTGAAGGGAAATGGGAAAAGAAAAGGTCCAATGCAACTGCTGTCTGCTGCCTGGACAGCCCCTGTCACCACAAGTCATTGTGAGCGTTCCCAGTAAACACTGGTTCATTGATATTAACCAGCCAATATATTGAAAAAGCCACGAGAACAAGTTGGGCCAAGGCAGAGAAAGTTTATTTTCTGCAAGGAAATCGTCTCTGAGGATATGAAGCTGGCCCTCAGGACTGTTTCGCAAAATCAAACTTTTCCTGTGTGCGCATTTCCCTGTATAGATTTTTTCGATGATCTGATGAAATTGTGCGAGCGTAATGTGGGCTAGTTCCTCCGTATGCTTGCATTTCATCGAGATTGTGTTACGCAAAGCATTGCAGCTGCAGCGGCTTTTAGAGACTGTTGAGCGGCGATTCAGAAAATTGCGCGAGTGAAAGAGACTTGCTTCACAGGAGTATTCTTGCTTTGAGCTGCTTGCCTCACAAAAACAAGGGCCATAATGCTTTTTATTCTTTCACACAAATCTTTTAGTCCTTCACGAGTGCATAGCCCCTTGAATGAGCGTTACGATAACAGCCACAACGTGATTTGACAAAAGTGGGAGCGAACGAAGCATATGCAGCCATTAATTTAGTTTGTCCCAAGGCGCAACATATTATATCTCATGATATTTGTGAACAGTCTCTGCGTAATAAACAGGTAAATATGCAACAACGTAAGCGACCGTCTTCAACGCATTTTCAACCACTCCTGGTATGGTGAAGCGGAAAGTTTTTCACTTTATACGAGCATCCAAGTACACAGCATGTATACTTCAATCAGCCCAAACCTCATTCTACAAGCTAAGATGCACTTCGCGTTCCGCTCGCTTTCGAGAAGATGAATATACGCGAAGCACTGCAAAGTGCGCTTTCGCTCCATTATCTGCTGGAGGGCTTAAATCGTGCGCGTGCGTGCAGGGCTGAACGAGTACTCCGGAGCGTCAGGCGTTTATGCTACTGCAAAAGTATATAAAGTTGACAATGACAAAAACTCGCACTGTTACTATTGTGGCTTAGGATATTCGAATCAATGCTAGCCTTTTCTTTCAGGGGCTATCGCCTCCGTTTGGACGTTACGCGGAGAGCCGAAATGCAGTAACGCTCAAGGTATGTGCTTGTGCATAGAAGCTAGATGAAAATACCTCAGGGATCTAAATTGTGGCATCATTTGCCTTAAAGGGGCTGGAAAAACAACATTTGTCTTGTCCTGTAGCGAGTTTAGTGGTATCTTTCACGGTCCTGAGAGTTATTCAGGTTATTCAGCAGATGAGCTTGCAAAAGTCGCGTCTGACAAAGAAGCTCAAGGCG